TCTTTTTATAGCACTGATCTGCCTGCTAGCAATGCTTAGCATCGAAATCTAACTTACGAACACATATCGCTATCTTTAAATCATTTCCCCGTTATTGACAGAAACTTCAGAAACTCCGCCCCCCTCTCGCTGCATCATAAACACTGTCAATCTTCGAAGTTTTCACCAAAATCGATAAAAGGAACTTTGAATGGGAACTTTGTCAATGTCAAAATTCAAAACCTGCACATTAACATCTAAACCTAGCGCTAGAGTACAATATATGAGCGAGAACATTCGAGTAGCGCAAGATGACCTCTTTGGTTATTACTATCTTCGTCCCGGTTCGGAACGTCTTCAACGCCTGTTTTTACATGCTACGAAGGCACATCCGCCCAACCAAGCGGTTTCATAGGACAATGGAAAAACAGGCCCTGGACTCATTCCCAATTCTCAGCTAGGATGGGTGAAGCAAGGGGCATGGAGCATGAAGATAACAGTCCCTAGATATTCACCCAAGACAGACGACTTCCCGGTTTCTGATCATCGTGGAGGCTAGTAAATCAAGATCCTTTGCAATAATTGATGTATTAAATTGAAGACGAGCCTTCTGGGCCTATCTGCTTAGTTATATGGGCATCATGGCGAAACATCCCCTTGAAATTTCAACCAGTGCAAGTTACATAAATACCCACTGAATTTATCTTGACATCGCGATAGGCTTTGACTCGGAAGGAGCAATGCATAGACAATGGGACATCCAAAACATCAATTTAAAAAGTTTTCCAGGCAGCCAGCAGGAAGCTTTCCTCATTTCAAGACATGACAACTACCAAAAATCCAAGGAGACAAAATGACCAGGTATCCATTATCGTTTATATCAACTCGTATATCAACTCGTCATCGAGATATTCTGTACTCGATGCAAGTACGGCTCAGGTAGTCTTGCAATTATCACAACGGTCCGAAACGTACTCTACTTCCCCAATTCGAAACTCACACCTTGGGAAATTGGGACACCTCCGATCAGTCATGACAGCGTATCGAATAACATGGCCACATTCGCCCATGATCGCAATCACGTCACACATGTTGATAGGCACTATCAAGTTGAATGTAGCGGAAAATGGATATAGGGAACGCGAGCGTAGGTTATTGGAAGAGGAAGAGTGTTGATTGGCGAGGGTTTATTATGCCGGATCGAGAATGATTTGGAACGATGTCGCGGATGTGGGTAGAGAAAGGCAAAGGAGAAAAGAATGTAAAATGTGAAAAGAAAAAAAATGCAAATGCAAATGCAAGGGCAGGAAAAATGAGCTTTTATAGATTAAATAAATGAAGCATCATCACGGAAATCTACTATTCACCATTTCCTCAATATGGAATATCAACCACATCTAGCCCCATCAAAATAAGTATTGTATAGTGTAAACTGCAGGTGAATATATTTTTGTCTACTATTTGCCATTACGCAATTATGTTTCACAGAAATTGTGCCATAATGGCGTGATGTAGCGGAGGTTTAGTTGATGGTTGATGGTTGATGCGAATATCAAGCACATGATCAAAGAAGCGCGGCCGGTGCCGAGGGAGCTCGATCAACTGGCGGCAGCCCTTCAGGATCTTCAACTATCTCAACACCACTTAACCTTCCAGTAAACTCTCGCCTTCGAGGTCATCCCAAGGAGACAGCACCTTCTCAGTCACTCCGTTCGAGCACTTGTTAGTTTAGAGGTAACGAGACTCCCGCAAACATGGTTGCAACAGAAGAAGGTTGGCATGTTGCTCCCGACGGAGCGAAGCTGTATACCAAGACATGGAAGGTAGGATAGTTTTATGAAATCTCCTATTTTGACAGCCTATCCTGCTCTACCAAATCATATCTTGCGAATGCTTTCATATTATCTTATAAATTTATCCTTTCCCCGTCTTTGTTCTCCGCAACTTTTAGTCTTACAGTGCAATCCAACGTGGCTGACTGGTGTTGAACTATACAGGCCGATGGACCACCGAAGGCGATCATTGCATTCGTCCATGGCTTCAGTGATCATTGTAGGTCATTCTTCTTTTTGCATTCCCTCCTTCTACTTCTTTATATTTATAGGGAAATGGAAACAGGAGAGGAATTTTACATGTTATGTAGCTGTGCTAATGCGTAATTGTAGGCAACTCTTACTACGATCTCTTTCCCACACTAGCTTCCTACGGGGTTGAAATCAGGGCACTGGATCAACGGTACAGCAGCACTCATTTCCTTTTCCTATGTTTGTCGTTTTGTTTCCCCGTCGGCAAAAAAATAACCATATAGTCCTTTCCCCGGACTATAGTGGCTGCTAGCTAGCTAGCGACCTTATCGAGGAACAGCCCTCTAAACTGTGTGAATTCCAGCAAAAGGAATCAAAAGCTAAGAGAATTGTGTCCCTAAACCAGAGGCTGGGGACGCTCTGTCACCGGCAAGGCAAGCCGTGGCCTGACAGGGGGAACGGAGATCGTCATGTCCGATTTCCACTCCTTCGTCACCGGCATCTTCGACTCCGGAAAGTCGGCATCATCGTCAGATAGCGATGCCTCAGAGACCCCCGCTGTGTTCATAATGGGACACAGTAAAGGTGGCGCTGAGGTTCTATACTACGCGCTTAACTCATCTCTGGATCTACCTCCCATTGCGGGAGTCTTGGCATATTCGCCCCTTATTGCTCTCCATCCCAGCACACGCCCGTGGAACCTCACGGTATTCCTGGGTAGGATTGCATCAAAGGTCCTGCCAAACTTTCAGCTTGTACAACCTCTTAATGAATACTTGATGTCGAGAGACAAGCGTATTTGCGAGGAGTGGAGGCAGGATCCACTCTGTCACGATACAGGGACATTGGAAGGGATTGGTGGAATGTTGGATCGGGGAGCATGGCTGGAGGGGGAGCAGGTTGGGAAGGATTGCAAATATAAGGGACCCATCTGGGTATGTCATGGCTCAGCGGATGAGATTAATAGTTATGAGGCTAGTCGGAGTTTCGTAGAGAGACTTGAGTCTGATGATAAGACTTTCAAGTCTTACGAGGGCGCCTACCACAAGCTCCACGGGGAGCCAGAAGGCGTCAAGGAAGCTCTGGCGAAGGACGTTGCTGAGTGGATTCTCAAACGGTCTGAAGTTGCTGCGAACCATAATGCCCCTACGGCGAAATTATAAATGGAAGGAGGGTGTCTTTTAGGAGAGGGGGAAGAACATCTGCCGAGTTTTGTTTGTTTCTCATGCAGGATATCTCCATCGCAGAGCTGCAATGTATGATTTCTAGGGCTAATTTAAATATACAGTACATACGATCGTCTCTAGCTGAGATCTACCCAGCTTTTCTTCTTCCTCCATATCCCTACAAAGCCGCCGCCCGTAATCCTCTCTCCCACTTGGGGTCTACAAACTAGAACCTCTTCTCGATCTGTCTTCTCTCCCTTTGTCAGGCTGGGAACTTCCTCTACCGTAGTATTAGAAGAATCTTCAGCTGTCTCATCTAGGGTTTCCTCCGTAGTGGCTTCCCGACTAAGAGCGTCCTTAGGACTCCGCTTCGTCGTTATCCGGAGCTCCCAAACCCTCCCACTACTAATCCCAGTCCCGAGCTCAACGATCTTTTCTTGCAAAAACGGTAGTCTCTCTTTCGAAATAAGATTTGCACAATCCCCAAGCTGGGTTATGCTAGGCATAAAAACAGCCAGCACCGCATCATCTTTCATGATCGGGGCGACGTGTGGGATCCGCAGGTGTGCAGAGGGCATGTCTAGAATGACACGTGACAGGAACGGATCCGGAGAGTCTTGATTTGTCGAACGACGAGCTACTTGTTCTTGGATCCATTTCTCAACACTGGACACGTAGAAGTCGACGTTTCCTACATATATTCCCCGGCGGAATCCGCGGACGATGTTCTCCGCATGTTGGGAGTAGTGCGGGGATATGTCTACGGTATGGACTATGGCGCTGCGCTGCGCACGCCATGCATCCCAATTGCGTTGGAGCTCCTCGTTCTTGGCTTTAGTTTCGTGATCTTCCTCCTTCTGCTCCTCCTCATCGGCCACGGCCCTCTTTTTGGTTTTGGGCAGTTCGAGGATTTGTCGTTGTGAATAAGGCGGTCGCTTTGGTGGATACGTGTTTGCGGCGTTTATAGCTCGGGCTAGGTGCAATGTCAAAGATCCGTGACCCGTTCCTGCTTCTAGTATTTCCAGTGGCTCATTTGGTTCTTCTCCCGGCACCGGTGATGTGACGTGAAGGTCCAACAGGGATACTATTAGGTTGGCGTCGGCGGGGTAGATCTGCGAGTCATGTTGGTTAAAATGGGTGAACTTATCTATCTTATCGCGGAGACACTCGAAAGAGTATTAATGGGCTTAATATGGACATACAGGAGTCACAAGTCGTGGAGTTCGAATGATGTAGTCTTCGAACGTGGGATGGGTTACCCTATACAGCGCGCCTTTATTTGAGCCCGATCAGAAGTTGCTTCTTGACTAAGAATAGCTATTCAATGAAACGATATAGGATTCAATCCATAACTAACCTCTGTTTGACTTGATAGGATATCTGGGTCCTTTCCCGATAATGTCGTCATGCGCTAGATACCCGCGAGCAAGCTTTGTCCGCTCCTCCTTCTTTAGCGGTTTCGTTAATGTGGGAGTTTTTGTATTTATAAGAACTCTGTCGCCCTCTAATCGAGATCGCCAGTTAATAGGAGTTAGTCGAGAATATAACTGGATCTGAGAAAGGGAAGTGGGAAGCAGGGTTAAGATACCTTGGAAAACGGAGAAGTTCGCATCTGCTGCCCTGCTGCTGCTATATGCTCGCACGCAGCCGCGACGGAGCGGCGCGAGGAGTCTTGACATTTAATTAAGCTACTTGAAACCTGGCAAAAAATTTTCCGTTGAGTTCTATGGAGAGTGGTAATTCTAAATATAAAAGTATGTACGGAGTACGGAGTAGCGAAAAAGATATAACTAAAATAAAGAAAAAGCTAAAATTATTTCTGCTCCCAGGGGCCGAGACCAGGGGAAGTGGCGGAGAATAGTAACTCCGGCCCCGATGACCCGCCCAAGCTCGTCGCATCTCCAAGAATCGTGGAAAGCATCATGAACTGTATGACCATTTATTTAACCAGTTCCCCCGTTGGTCCTGGACGGCCTTTTCCGCTGCTGTTTGCGTCGATGCCCGGGCCATCTTAGATTTTGATCTCCACCAGCTTCCCTAGTTCTACACGATGCTCACGGATCTATTGTTTACTCTGTCCCGTGTCCCTTCGCAGGCTACTTCGATACGGCTTACTCCTTGGTAGCAAGCTGGCGAAACCATGGTGACGCGGCGCATTGTAGGCTGCTGACCTTCTGTTTTTTCCCCTTATATTGATAATTATGCTCGTAGAGTATGCTGACAATTGTGTATTTTGGCTAGGTTCGAACCGGTATTCAACTGGGCCTACTGGTCCTGATCATCCTCGTGACACTGTTGATCTTCGATAGTAGGCTAGAGCTCTTGCCTGCCGTAATCCATGACCATCTTCCTTCTCATCACCCGGGGCTTGTTGTCACCGATGTCACTGTCACGACCTGCTCTTCCCTAAACATCTTCTCAAGCTGCATGCTCGACCCGGAGACATGGCATCGCATCGAGAAGGACCTATACCTGGGGACCGGTTGGACCTCGAGCGCTTTCTTACACATACGAAGGAAGAAGGAAGAGGATCTTCTTCCTGCCGATTTAATTGTAGTTGACCTAAAAATGGGTAGACTTGATCCTGGTGCTGGCACGGATAAAAAGTGGGAGCCAAGGCCGGCTGGTATTTGGCTCCTGAGAACCGACAGAGGTCATACAGGAGATCCACAGAAGGTTATTACCTCTTTGGATGTCCTTTTCGGTCCTGATGCTGCGGATCCTCGTCCGGGCTGGGAAGTGAAAGATACGCCGCTATTGCTGGATACCAACAGTGAAGCGCGTTTGTCTATCAGGCGAGGACACCCTGCCAAGATTGATCGGCCACCTCCGAGAATTCGCAAAGACGGGAAATTTAAGATAATGCAGGTGTCGGACCTGCATTTGAGTACAGGGGTTGGAAGGTGCAGGGAGCCAATCCCGCCTTTGAAAGATGAGAGCAAGTGTGAAGCGGATCCTCGTACCCTGGAATTCATTGGCAGAATGCTTGACGAGGAAAAGCCCGACTTAGTCGTTGTATCCGGCGACCAAGTTAACGGGGATACAGCGCCCGATACGGTGACAGCGATCTTTAAACTCGCTGATATTTTCGTTCAACGCCGTGTTCCGTGGGCCGCTATATTTGGAAACCATGACGATGAGGGTAGCCTTGATCGATCACAGTCCATGAACGTCTTACAGCAGTTACCGTACTCTTTATCGGAGCCTGGCCCTGTCGATATCGATGGCGTGGGCAACTATATAGTTGAAGTTCTTGACCATACTTCATCTCACTCCGCCTTAAGTCTTTACCTCCTCGACACACACAGTTACTCTCCAAATGAGCGCCAATTCCGGGGATACGATTGGATAAAACCCAGCCAGATCGAATGGTTCAAGGCTAGCTCACAGAGACTTCAGAAGTCTCACCGCGAGTATCGCTATATCCATATGAACATGGCGTTCATTCATATTCCACTTCCAGAATACCGAAACCCAAACAACTTCTTCCAGGGAAACTGGTCGGAACCTTCAACTGCTCCAAGGTTCAATTCAGGATTTAAAGATGCCCTCGTCAGCGAGAATGTTCTCGTTGTAAGCTGTGGCCAGTAAGTCACCGACCATCACTAGCAATGAGTTGGCATTTTGGTTCAACGTTTATAAGCGATCTTCGTTCGCGCTAACTCTATTTTTTCCTCTCTTAGCGATCATGTAAATGACTACTGCATGCTAGACCAGGAAACCGATTCAGAGCCGTCATTGTGGATGTGCTACGCCGGGGGTGGCGGCTTTGGCGGCTATGGTGGATACGGCGGCTACATACGACGCGTCAGATTCTTCGACATCAATATGAACTCTGCCAGAATAATGACCTACAAGCGGCTTGAGTATGGCGACACGGAATCAAAAATTGATGAGATGATGATTGTCGACGCTGGTAAAGTGGTCCAGCCCGATTATTAAGTGCTACTTGTTCGCCTCCTCTGAATCTGTTTATTTAATTTAAATTTCCCTTACCGAAAAAGAGAAAGCGTGACATGTGTGCTAAAACATAAGCGTTGGAATTTCATCCTTTTCTTTTTTCTTTTTTTTCTTTTCTTTTCTTTTTTTTTTTTTTTCCTCTCTTGCCTTTCTCTCTCCCTTGTTTTCTTTCAGCTTATTCTATTCCCATTTTATGTGGTATATCACTGCTGGCTAGGTTTTATAACTCATTGTTTCGTATTTTCCTTTACAATGTAACACTTTGATAGATCTGATTCCTGGTCCTCTATTCGGTTAGTTATTCATTAGTTTTTCTACTCAAGCTGTCCTTCCAAAAGAGTATCTGCTTTTTTCTTTAAGTCATCTTAAAACACCTGGTCGCTTTTTACTACCATATACCTTTTTGGTTAGGGTATTATTGGTCCTCTTTCTCGCCTTTTTTGTTTCTTTTTTCTTTTTTTTTTTTTTGGCAGAGCGATCACCACTCCATTGATCCATGTTTGCCTACTTCGTCTTGTGGTTCGGCTCGCTCTGTTTTGAGGAGTAATGTTTCCGAATCACCATTATTAATGTGGTCTTTTCTAAAGATCTACGGGCTCGTTTTCTCCATACGAACGAAACTTCCATGATATTTTTCCTTACACGTCATGCCTCAAGGGTTTATTGCTCTGCCTAGTTTTATACAAGCTGCTGTTCATATTATCTATGGAGATTCAATCCCAAAAGTGACTTATATTATACTCCTTCCGACCAATAAGTTCACCACCACTTTTCACAAAACACGCTCTTCTTCCTGCCCACCCCGGCCCCAATGACCTCTTCGGCACCAGCGACGAACTCATCGGTCATGTCAGGTGGTCCACAGATGTAACATACCGTTCGACCGGGGTCCTTTGAGCTGTACCCATCTGGAACGACGTCTCTTTTTCCACCAAAGACGTCATGCAGATCAGGCATCTGGATCCGACGGTTGTGCAATGTGAAGTCTGTTGGGGGACTGTGGGGCATTCCATGGAGGTTGGTGATATAGAGATGAAAGTGAAGGCGGAGGGATGGCTCCTCTCGATTGGTATGATGATCTGGCCGTTGAGAATCGAGAATGCTCCGAAGCCGGGGGAAAAAGAGGATTTGGTCCAGGTGTTTCGAGATATCTTCACCAGCCTTGGGGGTGGTGGGGAGTCTGGTCGAATAAAGTAAATGAATGGCTGGTGAATGTGGTAAGTGGGAGGGATTTTTGAAGATATGTGATATCATTGAAATTAGCGGGCTAGACGGGGACGGTTAGCCAGAAGATATCATGGAATTTATTGCCTGAGGTTCAATTAACATTCCCATCATCCCTCAGCATGAGCTCTCCAACTCCGATATGTATGAATTGGTTGGATATGGCAGTTTGTGGTGATTTTAAAGCCACCGGAATTTATACATACTTAATTCCCACTCCACCCGCAACAAACACCACTCTTCCAATCGCTTCTAGCAGGACATCATGGGGTGGCCAGATAAAGCTCCCGCCAACCCTTACTGCCAGCTCCTGTCCAAGAATCTCATCCCTGGGGCGCCAAAGCCAGGCTGCGGGCGGATTAGATGGTGATTCTTGGACAGCAAGTTCTATGTACGGTTCCGCTGTAGCTTCATTGTTACTGCTATCTCTTACCGGCGGTAATGCATCGCTTGGGGTGGAGGTTATCGTGAAGCCACCGGCTTGTGGGACGGAGGGGACATGGACGTCGAGCCATTGGCCGGGGAGGAAGTGAAATGGTCTTGATTGGCCATGATTGGACTATATATAAGGGGAAATTGTGTCTCATTTAATATATAATGGTGATCAAGTTTCGCGGTTTTAAAACAAATTTTTATGCAGGAAACATTAAACAGCGTTCAATCAAACTGTGGGAAATATCGCAGTTGGTGGGTGTTGGGGGGGGTTTGAAGCATACTTCATATTCAGTCGGATTACGCCCTATGGCCAACCGCAAAAGGCGGACAGTAGGATTCGCCTGTGTTATGCTTGATAGACGGACTTTATAGAGCATGTTCTGGCGCGGCTCCTGCGCTGTACGCAGCTTGTGGGGAAGACCAGTGTTCATGGTCCGAACTGCCCTAATTTTCAGCCCGAATCGTGATACATTCATTGGGTTTGGGCGACTGCCTGGCCAAATGTAAAGGGCAGAGTACTATGAGATATTTCAATCGTTTATATCAGTATTGGGATATCGTTTGATTCAATGCATACATCGAGAGTTAACTTGATTGCTCATTGTCCGAAGAAGTCACGTGTTTGTGCTTGAGAGATGTGTTCATGATGGTTGTTGATTTATGTATCTTCTATGATAGTTAGTTATCCTGTGTAAATGTTTTGATCGCCTGCAAGCTACGTTCTGGATGTTTTCCTGATTTGATAGGTTGAAACCTCCTATGGTTGCGCATTTTCAAATGCCATATTCCGCACAGGCATTGCACAGAATAGGATATGTGTCTGCTCAAAATATCCACAGCAGGATATCCAGATTATCCGTGAGGGGATATTCCACTGCTATTTGAACTACCGGAATCGATCGAAGCGCCAGCAACCCCAACCGTACAGTATGTACGGAGTATGTCAGATAACTACTAGCTTAGCACACAAAGAACAAAGAACAACAATGAGAACAAACACTCCAGCATCCGGGCCCAAGCTCCCGCCCTCAAGTATGCGCCGTCGCCGGTTGCGATTTTGTGATGAGAGATTGAACAACCGGGGTACATTCATGCATGATTCAAGCAACTGGTTCTTCTTCATTGAAGCCCATTTCCACAACTGATCAATCACACGCTGTCTTCCCTGAATTGCGCTGCAATGGGCGCTGGACACCACTGGGTAGCGTGTGATGGCATGCAGCAAGATCCCCGTCTGAGATCTGTCATTGGCCACCGGCTTGAATCGTCACACCCAGCGCTAGGCTGAGCGCCGGCTCTCCTTCGCTGCAAGGCCTGGACACGGTGGTGGGTGGGTGCATCTCTCCCACCCACTCATGGGGCCCAGCGGCAGCTTGTCGCTCAGCACCAGTCTGACAATCCGGCCTCCCTGGCCTTCCTACCATGGCCTGCAGGGTTGATCGGATGCACTTTTGTGGTGCCCTGGGTGGTGGGGAGTCCATCATTCGTCCGTTCTGTCCCCTCATACAGCGAGTTTGCCTTGGCGAGCAACATGACCCCGGCAGGCATCTCCCAACTGCGGGCGAGGGATTGGAGCGAGTAGCTCTGCATGCCCGCCGAAGTTGAAGAAGTACCTAAATACACATATGCGCTCAACTCTTTTCACTGGCATTCTTCCTGTCCCACCCTACCATCCTCTCTTCCATCTTCTCTTCTCCCTCCTCTTTCTTCGACCTGTTGCTCAGCCTGTCCGTGCATCAACACTGGCGACAACAATAATTGAGATGACCCTCCTGCCAGCAGGCCTGGCCTGAAGAGAACAGATAACTACTCGTCTCTCATACTCTACGCTGCATCCATACTAAACAGTTAATAGCGGGTTGGTTTCGATCCATCCTAATATCTGGCATTTGCTTTGGGCCCTATCTTCTTAGACCCTCGCCCAATCGCCGCCCCAATACTCCATCCATCTATCCCCCGATTCTCCATACACGAGAGACACAATGTTGTGGTATCTGCCCCGGAAATATCGGCCGCCCATCCTATTCAAGATCTTGCTCGGCATCGAACTTCCCATAACCATTGCAGTCCTCACCCTGTTCGGCATCGCATCACCAGATCTATATCGAACGAAACTGTGGGAAGATGGAGCTAAGAATGGCTTCAATAGCGGCCCAGAGGACATGATTTACGCCTTTGCAAACTACCGCCCATATTCTACACCCAAGCCTTGGAGTCAATTGTACGTCTACCATTCCTCAAGTTTACCCATCACTAGGGCAAACTTCTTAGTCCATGTTTCGAATATTGCGGCTCTAACCGTCGAATTACAGCATTACGCACTTCAACCTTGTCATATCGGTGTTGAGTATGTTTTTCATGCTCGTCAAAGCACCTATGTTCATCTTGAATGTCTTCTACCCGCCATTCTCTGTGATTGTGCATACAACATTGACCGCGCTTTACGCGGTTTCAATTGCATACCAAGCTTCCCCTGACATGACCGATCCGGAACGCCCGCAACCAGGCGCACCTTGGTATCTCACCAAAAACTGCAACGTCGCTAAAAGCCCGTCCAATGTTGGCTATTGCCAGCAAGCAAAAGGGTCATTTGCTTGCACTGTGTTGATGTTGTACGCCACCCCCTACTCGCTGAGTCAAAAATAGAAGTGCCCTCTTCAAATGAGACATGGGAAGTAGTCATGCCCAAAACAATATGCCCACTAACACCAACATTTTTCTCAGCGCACTCTTCCTCGTCCACACCGTCTACGCTGTCTACTCCTGTCTCCCCACCGAGGAAATCCACGAAAAGCAAAGACAACGCCTGGAACGGCGCAGGGAACTCGAAGACCTAAAGAGTCTCAAGTCGCCCATCTACCCCATGCACGCACCCATGACTCCCGGCGGCACTGCTTTCCCCCCAATGACACCGCGCACCCAAGCTTTCAACCGTCTAGGCGGAACCACAGACCTGCCTCTGCGAAACCATTTCCTGCCCCCCGACATGCCGAACGGTGGCCACGCGAAGAATTTCAGCATGCCGTCGCCCCCACATAGTCCCACGCCGCCGCAGATGAGCGGATCGACAACAAATGGCACGCCCCCGCCAAATGGAAGTGCAAGTGCAGAAGGCCAGAGCCAGGCGACGGTGTATTTCCCCCCGCCGCCAAAGAAGGCGAGTAAATGAGGGGAGGATGGGGGTCAAAAGTGTACTTGTTTTCGAGAGAGGAAATTTGGAATGGGATACGGGGGCTAGGCTAGGTCGGAAGATCATTGCGCTGGAATATAAAATAAGCCTCTAGGATTTGTTCGTTGGATCTCCAGACTGTCTGTCCCTCTTTGTCTTGGTACTGTATGAGAAAGGAGGTTTTTGAGCGGCGTGATATATATATCCTTTCCCCTTGGAAGTTTCCTTTCATTCTACCTTATTCTACTAGGCGATTTTTTCAGGTCTTATTTTATCTACATAGTAATTACTCAACTTTATCCTTGGTACGTTGTTTTTGAAACTATATATTTAGTACCACACAATATGTCTGGCTACGTAGGTAGATAAAATAAATTCACTATCTTCTAGGTATCTATCCTAAATACCCTCCCCTACTGCAAAAAGGTATTGGTGGGAGAGAGAGGGGGTGATCTGAAGTTCAATTCTTCCTATATCGGGGAAGTGTTCCTGAAGTCCGCCTGTCGATGTATGGCTCCGCGTGTCCTCACACACACCTACCTCCACGATTGAACGGAAATGGAATAATGGCACTGAAGTAAAAACCAAATCCGCACTCCTTTGGCAATTAAAGACAATATTAAATATAGATTATCGGGTTGATACAAACCACTACGTTACTTGGCTCTCTAGCTAAATACTTTGAGAGTTTATCAACTAGCGAATATCAGACCTTCAATAAGGGGATTGTTATGTTTGCAAGATTATCTACGCATAGCATAACCTTATGAAAATCTTGCCTAATTGGGTGGGGGGAATGCGGAAAAATGAAAAATGAGACAGTTATATTGGAAGCTATGGAAAAATGAAAAATAATGCTTTACATGTCTTGCGTTATTTTGGCAACAAATGCAGAAATGTCGATGTGGAAAAAAAAAAAAAAAAGGAAAGAAAAAGAAAAAGAGAGAGAGAGAGAGAGAGAGAGAGAGAAATAAGAATAAAAGAATATAAAAGAATATAAAAAGGAAAGGAAAGGAAAGGAAATAATGGAAAATGGATCAAGCTAGATAGAGTGTAGAAAGCGAGAAGGGTATTTGTGTCTGGATATATATGTACGGGAAGAAAGGGAAGAAAAATAAGCGGAATAATAATAGCAACTACCCAAACGTATACATATATAACAATAAGAGAGGATAGCAAAGGGTTCTCAATGTTTTTGAGGAAAAGGGTTTTTTACACGATCAGGAAAAAGAAAAATCTGGGGGCGATGTAAGATAGAAAATACAGCCGAACAGCTGAGAAAATACCCAGAATCATAGAAGAAGGGGTAAAGAGACACGCACGCCGAAACTTCCGGCTAAAAAAAGGACAAACCGAGCCAAAACAGAAAGGAAAAACAAAGGAAAAACGCACTATACAGAGACAGGCTCTACAGTCCTCAAAGGAACATAGCCCTCATCGTCAGTAGAATTTCTCCGCTTCCTAGCAACGTTATTCACAGCATCGGAACCAAGTGTCACTAGCCACGCGAAGGTGCGTCGAACCCGACCTCTCCCGTCGTATGTAAACGGACTCTTTTTCCACCACGATCCCCGCCCACCACGGCCCAGGCCGCTACTATCAATTAGACCTAGCTCAGCCTCACGCTCCAGCTTCTGAACATCGAGCCAACTGGGCCGTTTCCAGAGTTTCAAGAGCAGACTGCTAACAACGACACTGACGCTTGATGCGGCCATTGCGGCGCCTGCAGCCATGGGATGTAATGATATTCCGCCAAATGGGAGGAAGAGGCCCATGGCAAAAGGTATGCCGACAGCGTTATACATGCAGGCCCAGAGGAGGTTGAGTTTAATGCGGCGGAAGATTGAGCGGGCCAGACACAGGCTTGCAGGGATGGAGAGGAGATCGTCGGACCGCATGAGGACAATGTCGGCTGCTTCCATGGCAACGTCTGTGCCGGATGAGAGGGCGATGCCGACAGATGCAGTAGCCAGAGCGGGGGAGTCGTTGATGCCGTCTCCCACCATGGCAACTATGGTCGAGGGACTTTCTTGGAGAGAAGCGACGATGGATTGTTTTTCGGAGGGAACGACAGAGGCATGGACTGAAGAGGCGGGAATACCAACGGCTGATGCAACGGCCAGGGCGGTGGAGAGGGAATCGCCCGTGATAAGGGAGGTGGTGAGGCCCATTCGGTGGAGAGCAGCGACGGCAGCTGCTGCCGTTGGTTTCAAAGTATCTTGAAGAGTGATTGTGCCAGCGTATTTACCGTCGATGGCAACGTGGATTAGAGTGGACCCTGCAGCGTGCTCGCTATTTTTAATGGGCCGAGTGGATATTGAGGCAGTAATTTTAGAAGTTTCGGGTTCGGGTTCAGCTGATTGTGGTACATGAACATCCCTAGAACGAAGGAATGGTGCGTTGCCCACGAGAACGCGATGTCGAACGCTACTAGCACTTGAAGTGGGTTCAACAATGGCAGAAACCCCCTTACCAACTGAGGCTTCAAAATCGGCCACGCTGCCATCGAGTGGACTGTCATCAGTTGCCCCAACTTCTGCCCTGGCCTTTGCAAGAATGGCTTTGCCAATGGGGTGTTCACTGGTCAGCTCAGCAAGCCCAACGATCAACCACCACTGGCGACGCCGCCAGTCATTGGAGGACCATGTTGAGTCCATTTTAATCTCCGACACGCTCATTTTGCCCATCGTTAAGGTTCCTGTTTTGTCGAACACAACATGGGTTACTTTGGTCGCTGCTTCCAGGGCTGCCCCGCCTTTGACCAATATGCCATGTTCGGCACCGACTCCTGTACCTACCATAACCGCTGTGGGCGTGCTAAGGCCAAGAGCACAGGGACAGGCGAAAACAACAACCGATATGCAAAGTTTCAAGCAGACCATGAATGTTCCACCGCTATTTTCGGCAAGGAAGATTTTAGGTGGATTTGGAAGAATGTGACTAAGAATCATCCATCCAAAAAAGGTAATAAGCCCAAGAGTGATAATGGCTGGAACAAAGTAGCCAGCCACTATATCCGCCATTCTCTGGATAGGGGCACGACTGGTCTGTGCATCTTGAACCAATTTGACTATCTGGCTCAATTGGGTATCTCGACCGGCTCTCGTAACCCGGAAATCAACCCAACCAGTGCCATTGACAGTGCCAGCCATGACCTGTGAAGACTTGATTTTACGAATGGGAACAGCCTCACCAGTAATCATACCCTCGTCTATATAACTCTCTCCTCGAATAACGACCCCATCCGCTGGAACCTTATCGCCGGGACGGAGGCAGACGACATCACCAACCTGGATTAGTTCCGTAGGGATCGTCTTCTGGCTGGTAGAAACTGCAGTAGTAGTGTTCTTGTCCTTTTCAGTCACAGAACCCCAGCCCTCAGCAAGCTTTTCGGCTGCTATGGGATCATCGTATATAGTTGCCATAGAGGGAGCGAGGGACATCAAACGAGATAGCGCACGAGATGTTTGGCCTTTTGCTCGATTTTCCAGCCACCGGCCGAGGGTAATAAATGTAATAAGCATAGTGCTGGTTTCAAACACGGTCATCGGCCGAGAATGGGGTTTGAAGAATATCGAGACTAACATTGCAAGGACACTGAAAAAGAATGCGGCAGAGGTACCAAGCATGACAAGAACATCCATTGTTGGGGCGCCGTGTTTGAGGGATTTGAATGACGAAATATAAAACCGCTTTCCAATGCCAAATTGAACAGGAATGGTAAGAAGCAGGCAGATGATTTCTCCGGAAAATAAGCCAGGAATGAGCTCGAATTTTCCGATATCGATTGCCGGAATATACATCGGAACAAGCATACTAATCACCATCACGGGAACTGCAAAAGAAAAAGAGAACCAAAATGCCCTCCGCCACTCATGGATTTCCTTTGTTTTGGCGAGGGATTCGAGTTGAGCATTGCTATCGTCGGACTCTGCCAAGAGGGCGTTGTATCCTGCCCGTTCAACAAGCTCAACTAATTGTCGTATCCCCACTTTGGACGGGGTATAGCTGATTAAAGCACGAGAATTAGACGGCTTAACATCAGCGGCCAAAACACCGTCGACTGCTCTGAGCGCATCCTCCAGATCTATAGCCGCCGTTGAGCCAGCCAGGCCGAAGATATTTAGCGCTAATGATGCTGATGTGTGTGATTGAAATGAGTCGTCCTCCCGGGAAGAGATGATGCGCACGTCAAAACCGGCATTTTCGATTAGTTCGGCAATTGCTGCAGCATGTAGGACTGAAGGGTCATGAACCGCAACTGCACGTTCAGCTAGCAGGCTGACATTGAAGCGAACCAGCCCAGGTTGGTCTTTGAGGGCATTTTCGACAGCAGAAGTACATGCCCCACAAGTCATGCCTTCAATAGACATGGTTGTAGTTACATGGTTCGATCTTTTTCTAGACGCGGACTTCCCTCGTGACGAAGATGAGTTTAGCTGTCGGGTAACGGTTTCCAGGACTTCAGCATCAAATCCACAGTCTTCGACGATTTCAGCGATCTGCTCAGGAGATATCACAAATATATCGTGTTCCACAACGGCGCGTTCGGATAGTAAGGACACTGTTACGGAAATGACGCCAGGTTTATCAGCTAATCCTCCTTCCACTGCGGATGTACACGCCCCGCAAGTCATTCCTCCCACTTTGAGCGTTGTAGTCGAAACGGATGGTGTACTAGGGGTGGATTCGAGTAAATCATTCCCTCCATCGTACTCTTCCTCTACCTGAGGTATTTCTCGTGGCATATCAGTGGCCAAGATTGAGCAGTCAAAACCCCGATCCTCTATCATCTCCGCGACCTTTTCCGCTGAGAGAATGGTCGGATCATGGTGTACTACTGCCCGACCCATGATCAAGCTGACAGACACAGTTCCTGCGCCTTCGACGCCTTTAAAGGCAGCCTCAACAGCAGAAGTACACGCGCCACAAGTCATTCCATCAACTTTGAGAGTTGTGGTGGCCATATGCGCAGGGGATTGTGAGCCCCCAGGCGCCGGATCGAGATCCTCTCCTTGCAAAAGCGGAGCGGAAGACGACGCCATGGTAAAGCAATAATATCCAATGAGAAGATAATTCCGTGAGGCGTGTAGACTTATCAATGGAGAAAACTAACTAAATCATCTCGACGACGGGATCTAGAAGTTTGTGGGATATTCCGCTGACGAACAGGAAACACGGGGGTGGTGGTAGGTAGTAGAGGAGGCTGAGGGGCTGCGGGTTTCACATTCAGCAGTATGTGACACAAGGCGAGTTGTCTTTATTATTTACGTTCTGGTTGTAACGTTAACCCTGGAAAATAAATTAGCAAGAGCCATCAGCGCGCGATAAGAAGGCCAGCTTCCTGAGGTCCTGAGGACTCGTGTGAGGCAGCGTGATGTGCGAGGTGGGATGTGGTGGAGCGGGTGAGATGGCCGGGAGAGAGGAGATCTGGCCGTCCGTCGTCCTGGCCCTGGGGAAGTCGGAGGTGGAGAACGAACTGAAATTATCTGAAATTATTTGCCCTTGCTAAGCCTTCCAGACTAGGAATCGTCGATGCTTATTGGCTAGAATCGCTTACAAAGCCGGCAACCCTTCTCCGGGGCCTTGAAGACGCAATACTCCAGAACGGGTTTAGCGCTGCCAGTGGACATATTTCTACGGTTCGGAGATGTGGAAACATAAAGTCGCTTCCAAACGCTAGTAATTTAAAAGTGGTAAGAGAGAATACCATCCCTCCTGAAACTGTTTAGAGGTGATTTCGCGGTCTGCTGACGCCTGTTGTGCCTATTGCTCAGCTGGCTGGGCACCATTGAGTGCCTATTCTTTAGGACCTAAGCCTCTAAACATTGAAGATGCGGGCCGGCACAATTTGAATCCAGTACTGGAGTTTCAATATAACATTTCTACGGAGGTGGAACATACGCAGTAAGTCCTTGCACTCGCTACTCTGTACTCCGTACGGAGTACGCAAAATAACAGTACCGTGGTATATGGTATTAGCGGTACCGGGATCTTGCGTACCTCTGAAGAAACCTTGGTACTGAATAGCGATTGATCAACATAGTTTCCAGGCTGGCTTCTTCTTTCCTTCTTGCACTCTGCAGAGTGAGTACTTGCCAAGGGAAAATGAAATGCGCATTGTAATGTACAGAGCACTGTTCCACAATAAGCGAACCTGAGGCAATAATGCGAGAAGGCAGGCAACGCTAGGGGCGTCACCGCGATTAACCCTCAAAATGTTTTCAAATCAATTCATGGCTACGGAGTAAAGAGAAAATCTGCCTGTAAGATATTTCTAATCCGTAATTTAACTACTTACTCCGTACACTTGCTGCCTCCTTTTATAACTATAAATAAATCAGCCGCGGTGATAACCGTGGTACCGATAGGCATAGCCGCTGCATGGGCAACATAATCTGTGCAAACAGGACAAATCGAGCAGAACTCAGCTGGAGATCATGTGACCTGTATACTCCTTGGAAACCTCGTCGGGCAAGTAGCTGAGTGTTACTCCGTACTCCATCATAGGGTTGCAGTCCATTTGATATCTTGGTATACCCGTCTATACTAATATTATTGGTTCTTCACTTTTGTGGATTTCTTCTTTTTAAGGCTCTGCTGGTGTTATTTTAATTTGGTTATTGCCAGTAAGCTCAGAGCCTGCTACCAAGAGCCGACAATAACTAAGTGTATCTACAGACAGCAAGGAACCTCACCCTACACCAGAAGTCAGAAGTCAGGAATACGAAGAGCGCTTGATGTAAAAATTATTCATCGCCCATGGAGAAGATACATACTCGGGCTGTTGAAGCCCTTGAACCATTCATTCACCTGGCAAAAACCTCATCGAATTCCCCACCCTATCTAGCAGGCATCATCACCAATGCCACCTCCTCCCCAAACACATTCGTATTCGCAGAACTCCTCCATGTTCCAGCTATTCAGTCATTGCGCTCTCCAGACACACCAGCTGAATACCGCAATCATCTCACGCTTCTAGAAATATTCGCCTGGGGAACATGGGAGGAATACCAAGGTAAGTAGTGCCCCTGCAAAACGTCACCCAGAGACATTGGAATAGATAACCAATTGACAACACAAATAGCAACCCCGAACCTCCCCCAACTAAGCGACAAACAAGCTGAAAAACTCCGTATCCTCTCCCTCCTCACCCTCGCCACATCCCACAACCCCCTCACGTACGCCATTGCCATGAAATCCCTCTCCCTCCCCAACCATGCCGCCCTCGAAGCCCTCGTTACAAAGGCCATCTACTCCTCCCTGATAACCGCCCGCATCTCTCCAGCTACGACCCCAGCATTTATCGACGTGACCTCAACAGCACCCCTTCGCGACGTACGCCCCCAGTCAATTGCCCCCATGATATCCATCTTGACAGAATGGCAAGCGCGATGCAGTGATGTAGTAGGCGGCATAGAAGCAGAGATCGCAAAGATAAAAGCCGACGCGGAGAAACGGAGAGCGAGGGAGAAGGATCGGGCTACCCGCGTTGAGCGCAGCGTTGCGGGTTGGGATGGCGATGATGATGGCGATGATGAGGGGGGTTCCTCCGGAGCGGGAGCGGGAGCGGGAGCGGGTGGGAGCACCAGTTCTGGGGCGGGCTCAAAACACTCGTTGCCATTCTCCGGCGGCGGGCGAGGCCCCAGCCTCCGCTCGCACTTTTCTGCAATGGCTGGCGGTGGTGCTAGTGGGAATAAACGTGAGCTCAACGATTATGGGGATGAGAGTAGATATCGGGGTTATGGGCGCATGGACATGGATGGGCCGGCTATGGATGCTGATGAAGGGCTTGGTGGCATGGGCGAATCTACGCGTCATGCGAAACGCCTCTTGGCATTGGGAAGCCGATAGATCGTTTGCCTCTTTCTTTTTTTTTAAACTCTTTTTAATGAGATCTATGGTAGTACGAAAGCTTTCTGCTGTAGATATCTCCCATCGAGGTGTCTCATTTACGACACATTGAATGAAGTCGAGAATCCTGCTTGATATGATGTAGGTATTCTCCATGACAGGGGATCATGAACTCACTTGTATACTTGCCTGGTGCCATGAAGACATTCTGTTTACTTTTCTGAACTAATGGCTCGTCAATGAAATGTAAATTTCACTGTGAACATGTGTATGATAGGCCACGAAATGTTTCCAAATCGTGTATCAAACGAAGGATAAGAAGGTCATGCATGTTCGGCTCCGTTAGGTATAAGATTGTCAAAGAGGAAGACAGGAGGACTGGAATCAAATAATAAAGATAAAGCACAGGCAAAGCTTAGAAACAGGGCTAACTAATGCATATATATGGTAGCTAATACTAATCGCTTGAAGCATCTAAAAAAAAGAAAAGAAAAGAAAAAAGAAACGTATGTGTTTCCATGCTAAATTGACCAATACATACATTAAACTTCCACCAGGGATATATCAGTTACAAAAGCAACGCAGGAAGCAAAGAAATAGCGTAAAGTAGAAAAAGGGACTTGATGGAAAGATAAAAAGAAAGAAAGAAAAAAGCATCCAAAGTCATAAAAATCGCAGGGAAAACTTGAGCATAGTGGAGGAGGTTGTGAACTGGGACGAGACGATAAGCCAAAATGGAATGACGGCGTGGCTCGAAACTCCGCCTTCTAGACCAAACTATTTGAAGATATTTTGCGATACTCAAAATAAGACCAAGTGCAACTTTATTTCTGTCCTTTTCGGCCATTGCCACCACATAGAAGGTGTCAAAACCGACAATGGCATGAATTATTATTTGGCCTCCATTTGGAAATTGCTCGGGTGTATGATATGAGAACTCCTAAACGCCATTGCTGATTCCGGAATGAAGAAAACCCATAGGATAAGTATATGAGATGAAGGACTAATACGCCAGGCCGAATTTATGTGTCCAAATAAATGAGCGAGAAAACCCTTAGCATTTTGGCGCAATGGAGTAGAACGAAAAAGCGAGAAAGCGAGATGACGACAAAGAAGAAATGTGGTGCCAAAGGAGAAAATTGTGTTGGGTGTTCTAAAGCCGAGTTCCGGGAACGAAAATGAACAGGACACAGAAGACAACTGCAACAAATGCTGCCAGCAATAGGGAAACGGATGCGCGTTTGTTAAGCAATGATCGAACATAGGGTTCCCGAATTTTTGCCCACGTGAAGAATGTGTATTCGCTGAAACCAGCTAGAGCAAATATTGGGTCGATCTTATATTGATATGAGGAGAGGAAGTACGCCGCGAAGACGAAGGGCAAGATAACCTGCATCAGTTACTTGTTAGCACGCATAGCCGCCCAACTAATATAGAGAAGAATTTAACAAGGCTGCGTACCCAACATCGAGTGCTTTTTGGTTGGTCTGTAAGAACAACGTAAAAAGCGGCCCAGAAACCTCCCCCGAAGCTGGCAAGTGCTAGGACCAATCGCGCCAAGATGCTGGGGGGGACAAGGTTACCCAAGGCCTTCGCCTGTAAATAGCCTGGAAACGCGTCACGCTCCATTGCCTGGAAGACGTAATCCTTTGCTGTGTCGAAAACCTCTGGGTCGTCTCTACCCTCCCGTTCAATCATATGCACTATATCCTCGACTATATTTTCTGGAAGGATGACTTCCCGTTCCGAGCCAGGTAAAAGATAAGTGTACAGAATCCGTTCCGCGCTGGCGCGGATATCAGCCCGGGCGACAGTACGACCAGGGGAATTGGAAGTGTTGCCAGTAGTATGCGCGGGGTCTAGGTTGCCAGGTCGGGGCGGCGGATCATTCGATTGAGTTCGGTGGGGTGATTGGTTGGAAGCGGTGCTGTGCACTGACTGCCCGGATGTATGGCTCTCAGATCGCAAGAAGGCGGACAGCCGCATATCGCGATTCCGACGTCCTCCACTTTCGTAACCAGACGGCCCTGCCCCTGTATCATCACTTTCGAAAGCATCAGAGGAACGTGGGCTTCCAGCCTTTTCAGCTTCCGGGGTATCAAGAAGAACGGAACGACGCAGTTCGCGAACGTAATGGCGACATAGTGACATGTGTTGCGACACATCTAGCCTAGTAGTTGCAATCAAAAGTAAGCATATCTGAGCTCAATTGCTATCGTGAGCTTTGACTAGAAAACTAACCAAAAATCTAGATAATCGACGGAGCATTGCTGGTCCCTCATGTAGATATAGAATGAAAAAAGGTCAACGGGAGCGAGAGTCCTCCGATTCAGGACCTCCATAAGAGTTGGTAGCCTGTTACAGTGCTCCATTTCCGCGAGAACCATTGGTAGGTTCAACGAGTGACAGTGTTCTATTCAGGGAGGAGGGCTGGGTGCTTCGAAAGAAACCCCTGGGTGTAGTTTACACCCCGGTTTGGGAACAGGCAAATCAAGTCTATCCAACACAAATATTTGATTCTCGATAGTCCGGGAGTATCTGTACGTGGCTTAAGTGCTGTTGCGCAATTTATTGGTATATATGAGTTCGGGTGAGCTCAAAATTTGGCCTGGAGGCTTCCCTATCTCAATGGCAGCTAGCAGTCAGGGAGAAAAATGGCAATAACGGGAATCTGAAAAAGAGAACGACTTGTGGGGAGGTAAAGCGAATGGTCGCAAGGGAACGAGGACCCAAGTGCAGCGAAATCGAGTGCGTTGGACAAAGGTGTTGTCGTCAGTGTTTACAGATGAAGTCGCGAGAGGCTATGACGGCCCGCAACAATGTTATTCCGACAGGGGAAGAGGTCACGGGATATCGAAGTCCTGCCCTAATAATACGGAATTTGTTTCAACGCACCCCATAGTAATGGTAGGCAACAACTAAGTCGATTACAGATGTTTGCTGTTTAATTATAGGGTATATATGGTAGGTTGCTAATTATATCTGCTATAAATACAAAACAACCAAAGTAAACACCCCTCGCCTCCCAAACAAAAGGGAAGGATTATTCACCTATCATTGAAGTCACAAGGGATATCTTTAAAACTGCAGCTCCTATTAATCCGCCAAGTGCTGGTTCAATCACAGATTAGCTGGGGGAACGAAAGCCGCAGGCGTATCGCAAGATTTTTCTCTAGGGGATGAATGTGAGACAAAACTTACCGACCACTCAGGAACATTTTTGATTTGCTGCCACATAAACTTCTCAAGTTTGTTTGCACTTTTCACGTACGCGGTGTTCTCATTGTTGTACTTTCGGCAGTTATCAAAAATTAAGTTGGCGTCTTTGATGAAATCTTCCGGTGTTGGGTACATATCCTTCTCATGCTTTTCCTCCATTGTTGATAAATCCATTGGCTCTTGGATCACTTCATAATAGTCCGGGACCTCGTCTCTATTGACAGGTTGAACAAATGGCCAGGCGGAGGAATGATTTTGCATGTCGTTGAGTAGGTGAAGTAATTGGTTATAGTTCGGACCATGGCGAGGTTGGCGGGCCAACTCATCCATATCAGGCGACCATCCAGACTCCTTAATTGCAGGTACGCTGAGAGGGTCGATTTTAAAGGCGCCGTTCTTCCATTCCTTGGGTGGTGCGTGGACAATATGTGATTTGCTAAAGGCTCGAATTTTTGCGTGGACTGCTGCCTTTTGTTTTAAGAGCATCCGCCCAGCCTCGAGATACCGGATTTTCGGGAGCATTGTACATTGCATAATTGTACCCCCTTCGTAGTCTTTGATATAGCCCATCCAAACGGATTTTTCGAGTGTGATCTCTTTCGTAAATCCTTGTTTCTTGAAATATCCGAGGGCATAATTATCGGCGTATGTAAGGAAATGCATAACATCCGAGGTAGCTTTCACGTAGTCCTATGCCTAAGAATCAGCGCGTGGCTTGCAGGCGTTTTCTTGGTGAGTCGGTATGCATACCTTTAAATGTGACATTAAGTGGGCTCCATAACCTTTCACCTGTTGATCAGAGGATATGGCGCAAAACACAATCTCTGCGAATTTTCTTCCTTTAAAAGGGCGAAATGTTATGCCCCTTGGCCAGGTTAGCTTGAATGCAAATAAAGGGGGGTGATCTAGATGGCGACATACCCGACGACCTCTAACGGTTGTTTTACAATGGCAATCGATAAATGAGTCCTATCATACACTAGTCTGGCGATATAATCTTTCGGCATCTTTGGCAGCTGCTTCTGAAAAATGCATTTGAGACCAGTGAGAATGATAAAGCTTTCCCGCTCGCCATCATTGTTAACAACGCGAAATTCAATTTCCCCCTTCCGTTCCTCTATAACCGCGGGCTATGTAATATTTGAATTAACATCGGTTCAATAACTTATAAAGGGGCGAAAAGGGGGCAAGACGGACGTACCTTCTCCGGATACGGCACAAGTTTGAGAACTTGTTTGTCATCCTCCTGGATAAGAATAAGAGTAATCAGCATATCATTAGAGTCGTTTTCAATATCGCAATAATCAAACAAACCTGATCTTCTTTAGGAGACTCCGTTCTCGCTCTTTTCACCCGATGCACAGTGTCATCCCCCTCAGCATACTCCTCAGAAGCCTTGCGCTTGCCACCTATACGACATTTGTTAGGACAACTTCATGTATCAGGGAGCGTTTCAACGTAATAATAATAAGCGACTCACGATCAAGAGCTATTGGCGCCATTCTTTTTCTTTGTTAGAAATTTTCGATTCCGGGTTACACAAAATTGGCTGATCGACATGCGTTTGCGTCGGCTCGGCAAAAAGGGAGCGATGGATTGATGTCATCTAGTCCCGTGACTTCGCGTCGCTCTCTCGAGATAATATCGGAAATATGTTTATCCGTCCATTCACGAGAGGTGTCCATCCAGGAAAGGAAATATCCAACTACCTGTGTTGTCTCAGTATAGAACAGATACCTCATTTCTGATTTCTTGTAGATCAGCAGTTAATCTGTGTCGAAATTTGAGTGTTCGAATCTTTCAACTTTACTTTGCGTGCAACGTGGTTGAATTGCACCAATGTCCTTGAACGAGATCTGGGATTCTTCTGGTGGAAGCCCATTCTATCCTTTAGTTGCGAAGAATAGTCAAATCTTCGTTGCTTTCACTCTTCTAGTGACCTGTAAGTCAGATATCGGTCCGGTGACCTGCCTAGGCAATATATCCAGTTTACTAACTATTCACATCAGCTATCGTCCTCGTTGTTTTTTTCGGACTGAGTGAGTATTCGCGTTGCACGAGGGCTTTCGGATTACATGCTGATTATTTCGTGTTCAAGAGCGGTCACTTCTCAGTCTCCCATTACTTGGAGTGCCAGCTTCATTGGCATTTGGGTAAGTTCTCCTTTTTTTGTCATATATAATCAATCCATCTTGTATAACAATTCTAATCACCAGTAGATTCGGTGCTGTTTTCATGATTTGTGCAGTGGGGGTATACGTTTAATTTGGACGTCAATCAAAACTATGTACGACAAATCGGGGTTGCGGGAGGATTTTTAATTCTAAGTACATTTTTGACATCACGCGGATTAGCTACAACCACACACAACCTTTTCATCTTAAACTACATTTTTCAAGTCGTAATCGCCATGTCACAGCCTGAAGGCCCGGTATTCTCAGCTGTCTCTAGCTCTGTTCATCAGTTATATATTCTCCTACGATGCATTGGGTTCTCTCCAAAAGCTTCAGTTCAAATAACCTCACAAGGCATTCGCTTCTCTGCTGAAGATGGACGAGTAATGCAAGGCGTCGCATTTCTTGATAGGAAACTTTTCACCAATTACATATTCAATCCACCATCGTCCGAGCCTAACAATGCTACAAATGCAGACAACGAGGATGGTGAAGATGGCTCCGACAATACTATCTCCCCACTGTTTTTGATTTCTCTTTCTGCCTTGATCGAGACACTCCAGATCTTTGGTCTCAATGATGCCTCACCATATTCCAATTCTACGGCAAATCAAGCCACATCAACGGCTCTAAACGCGTTCTCGGGGCCAGCGTTACTTCTCAACCGAACATGCACCATCAGCTACATCAAACAAGGATCACCACTTACCATCACTCTAATGGAGGCCGGCGTGACCACCACCTGCGAACTGACTACCTACGCGCCGGACGACCTCGATTTGGATTCCTTAGCTGGAGATCGAGATATTCCCTTGCAACGTGACGCCATTGTATTCAAGTCCATTATGCGCTCAATGTGGTTGCACAACGCCATAATGGAGCTCGACTCCACCAACCCAGCCGTATTGTCATTCAGCGTCTCCGCAACTAAAGAACCATATTTTGCTCTATCTGCCTCTGGCGGCCCATTCAGCGAATCTACCGTGGAGTTCTCAATCGACAAGAACCCCGCCGCCGGCGCCGGCGCCGCAGCAACAGCAGGGAATGAACCTGCTTACAAGACCCTGCGAAACGATGACGGGGCCACTGCTGCACGGCAACTGCAAGCGCGGCGTGGGAAACTTGCCCCAACCGTCACTGAAACTTTTCTCGTCAATTCACCGTCCAGGTCAAGGGTTCGTCAAAGCTATAGATTCGCACTTATCAATAAAGCGCTGCGTGCAATGGCAGCGTCGAGTAAAGTTAGTATTCGCATTGATAGGCAGGGCGTTCTGAGTTTACAGTTCATGATAGATTTTGGAGATGGCGATGGCGTCGAGGGGAGAGGTGGAGCTCCGCCGCCTATGCCTAGTAAGAAGATGGAGAACGCAGGTTTTGTGGATTTTCGATTTGTGCCATTGGTCGATGACGATCACGAAGATGAAGAGGATGGTGCTAGTAGTGGTTGAGACCCGGGGGCACATTGTTTTGCGTCCATATTCTTTTTTTTTTTTTTTTTAAAGCGCGTTCTTCTAATATGTTAGGGCATGTATTGTGTATTTTACTTGTGAAAAACTCACTCCATTTTTCCTACACATAACAGAATCCCATCTGGAAGGCACTGCGCTATAAAAAGGAAGTTCCCGTTGATTTCACAGAATCATAGATTTCAATGACACTTGTACTAAAGAGGAGAATGTCAAATTTAACAGGGAGATGGCTACAAAGTAGAACAGATCAAAACAGAGATAGCTGGGCTCTTGCAGATATATTAACAATAATAATAACCTTACGAAAATATTGTTGCACCAAACTTTACATGACCTATTTGCATCTTATCAGCAACTGAACGAAACACCTCTTCAGATGGGTGATCCCAGGAGGAAAAAAAATACTTACAGCTGCAATAGATTGTCTCTCAATAATAGATTTCTGCCTCTCATTCCTCGAAACGCGGTAGTAGTAATCGCTAAAATCACCACACTGCATATGTCGCAGGAACTCCTCATCATGTGTGATGACAATGAGCTGGAAATTAGCCTGCTGCTGGCGTGACTTGATAATGTCATGCAACGATTCGGCAAGGGAGCGAATATTATCTCTGTCAAGATTCGTCGTGGGCTCGTCCAGCGCGATCAGGCCGCAATTGACACCAAAGCATTCCGCAAGGGCAAGACGTATGATGATGCTCGCGAGGACCTTCTGGCCTGCACTGCAGCGGCCACGCATGTCCATCTCTGCGTCTTGCTTTACCATGCAGACGCGATAGTTGTAGGATCGGTTTCCCTTGGCGTTTTCGTTGTCAGAGCGGATTAGGATAGTGTCCACGTCCGTTCCCCTATACGTCTTCTGCCAGAGCTCTTCGATAATACGGTTAATTTCCTCCATTTTTAGACTGTGATACTTCATGATAGCCTTATCAAGAGCACTACCATAGCGACCAAGATCGTCGACTGCCGCCTTCGTTGTTTCTACCTTGATATGGGCCTCTTTGAACTTGACTGTAGCGTCTTTATAGTCGGTATTCCAGTCGGCCAACAGCTGCATGAGTTGATCATCCTTTGACTTCATTTCCCCCATCTTGCTCGCCTGTCTCGCTGATAGGGCGTTGTGCTCTCGTGTTCGTCGCTCCGATTCCTCCCTAAAACGGCTGCGATCCACTTCCGCATTCTGGGCGGACAATTCCTCAATGGTTGCGTTTACATCTTCGAGTGCTGCTGTTTCCCGCCGGTATCGAAGATTATCAGCGTACTGTCGCTTTGTGTTTTCGCTATCTTTAAGCCTGGTTGAAATTGCATTGATGTCCTTGGTTATTGACCCCTGCTCTTTTTCCAAGCTCGCAATTTCCGATTCTAAGTTGTGTACTTCTTTTTCACACTTGATCAATTGTGCCGGACCGCCTCGCTCATTGTAAGAGGTGATCTCTTCATTCGCCAGGTCAAGTTGATGCAAACTGTCAGACAGCTGGGATGCTTCTAGTTGTAGCTCATGTTCCCTAGCTTCAGCCCGAGAGGCAATGTCATCATACCTAGCCTGTGCTTTTGAAACCTCAGGAACAAGACTCTCAATATCATGATCCGCCTTTTCAATGCTTTCACGATGTTTAGCATTCAGCTTACGATATTCTTCGACACGGGCAGCGAGGCTCGCTTTCTTCTCTAGTTGATAGTTGGCATTGTCCAAGTTGCTTCGCACATCTCGAAGTTTTAACTCAAGGGCTGTGATCTCGGTTCGCGACTGATCCTTCTCATTATTCAACTTCGAAATGATTTTCTGAAGCTCGCGAGACTTTTCTCCAATCGCAGAAATCTGCTCCTGGATATCTTCCAATGTTCGGGAGCCGCTGACATCTTGTTGGTTTGCCAAAAGGTCCTGGACCTGCGATCGAAGGGTTTTGATTTCACCATCATATTTTGAAATCGTCGCAACTGTTTTCGATAGAGATTCAACGTTCTTTTTAGACTCCACGCGTTCGCTAACGATCTTGTCATGGTCCTCGATCTGGGATAGCAACTCCTCTCGTTGAGACTCAAGTTGAGACTCCTCTTTTTCAAGCGCCGGAATCTCAGTGGTGGAAAGGCGAACCCAAGTGTCATAGAAGGTAGAAACACCTTGAGCTGCCTCTAGATCTTCCTCCAGCTGTTGCATGCTTTCATCAACAGCATCCTGCGTAGCTCTTTTTACTAGAGCATCGAGCTTATTGAGGAAAATTTGGAATTCGCCTTCAGTTTTGAAAGGTCTGGAACACATTCGGCATACCTTCTTTTGCTTAGCTGCGTCCATGCATTTGCTGAGGTACTCTCCCAGGCCAGCATACTGATCGGCATCCTTCTTAGCCATATCAAGCTGTACTTGTCGTTGCTTAAGTATGTCGGGATACTCGGCGGGTTCGTCGTCAACAGCATCACGTATTTTTTGGATGCATTGTTTCAGTTCATTTCGACGCTGCTGGAGATCCTTTCGGGTTGTTTTCAATTTGAACTCAGCGTGTTCTAGTTCCCTACTAACACCATCTCTATCACGTTCGACGCGGGTCAATGCATTGGTGGTTTCCTGCAATGCTCTTTGATATTCCTGATCGAGTGTAGATGGATTCCATTCCCGAGTTAAAAATTTCTTGATTCTGTCACTGTGTGCCCCTTCCATAGTTTCGAGGCTGCGTTCGCGATCCTTAAGCTCCTTCTTGAGATGGTCTAGTCGCGCAAGATCCCCGGCTCTCTTGGTCCCTTCAATCAGCTCCGCATTCAGTTTCGAGCTCTCATCCTCCAACAATCGAATTTCGGAGGTTTTGCCTTGGATCGCACTGTCCCAAGATGCGGCCTTTGCTTTTTCCTTCGCTTCATGTAAGGAACGTTCGGTTTCTTCAATTCTTGACTCCAAAACAGCTTTACTACCCTCATCTATGTCAATTTCATCTAGACGCCTTTGGTGGGAATCTGCCTCAATATCATTAGACGATATCTGCTTTCTTGAAGCGTTTTTCACTTCTTGTAGGGTTGATTTCCGTTGGCTGAGTTGGTTTAGAAGGCTCTGTACTTCACGCAGTTCCATCTGGGCTTCCCGTCGGGCTCTCTCTAAAGTTTGGTTTTGATCTTTAGATAGCTTTCGAATTCGCTGCATGAAATCGCTAACCTGCATGTCGTCGAGGTCATCGTCAAACCCACGAATGTTATTCTGTCTGGCAATTTCTTTAATCAATTTCTCGCGCCTTCTAAGTTGTCGTTCGAACTGAGCCTTGTCATTTTCGTGTTTGCCATATTCAGCTTGTTTAAGCCCTAGCCTTGTTCGATTGTCTTCAATCACTTGTTTGAGCTCCATATATTTTTCCTTGAGCGATTCTTCTTGTTCTCGATACTGGATTTGTTGTGACTCGAATTGGTCCAAAGTCCTTTCAAGCCATTCATCGGACTCATCCACCTCAACAAGATGTTCTTGTAGGTTGGTGATGCTGGCCTGGATGCTCTTGGCTTCTATCCGCTTTCCTTCCAATGTGCCAAGAATTTGCGCATAACTTTCCGACTCTTTCCAGGCCTTGTCTGCTAGTTCTGCGGCTTTTCTCATCTGCTGTGAGAGCTCATGGCTCTCAGCACGTAGCGCCTCAATCTCCTCTTGCAATTTGATTGATCGTTTTTCCGCCTAGAGGATGTTAGCTAAGACATGCTGTCAAAATTTTGGAGAATGAACACCTACGCGGTCAGCTTTATCCTTATTTTCTTTTGCATGCTGTTCCATGATCTTGAATTTAGAGAGTTCTTCATTCTGCTTTTTCCGAAGTGCTTTGATATTATCGATAGCCTTTGTGTACTTCAAGGCTTCAAATATCTCGTCGAACTTCTTCTTTAGAACGGAGGGCTCACTCATTGGCCACAGACTCTCATCCTGATGGCAGAAGATGACAGAGTCGAGGATGGCTTTTGAAACACCTAGATACTGAGGCATAATCTGATCAAGTTCGGCCACTCTCGAAGAAATGGACGTTCGTTCGCCGTCCTTAACCATCAGGAGCTGGCCTTCCAAGGTTTTCTGTTGTCTCGTCGTTTTCTTCACGGTAAGCTGAAGACTGCGTGTCGCAACCATCCTCGCTCCCGACATAGACTTGAACGAGAGCTTTACTTGCGCCAGGACCTCTTTCTCGCCACATAACTGTGATATGTCTTTAGCTCCCCATCTTCAAATCCAACACGTATGGCATCTGTAGACAAACCTTCGGATCGTGAATAAAGGCACCGCCTTTACTATTTGGGGGGAGGTCTCCAGTAGTCGCATATTTGAGGCATTCAATGATGGTCTATGGCCCAAATCAGTCAAGTATCAGAATAGACATGTATATACTGATTGTTGCATACCGTCTTCCCGGAACCATTGTAGCCGACGATCAGTGTCAACGGGGTATGGAATTGGATAGTTTCGCTGCGGGTGTTGTCAAACGACCGCACACTATTATATAAAGTGCCAGTAAAACATTAGCGAGATGCTCGTAACTGGGGAACAGAGTATATATCATGAGCCCTTCTTACCCAAGAATAGATAACTTGTCAATTTTCGCTTGAGTGTTGTTAGCTACGTTGGAAGACGGACTGCTAGTAGGCGAACTCACACCTGAACAGCTGATTAGTCCTTTACCTTTTCAGACGGAAAAGTGCACATATGTAACACTCACATCTTGCTAAATCAAGTTTCCTGAACCCGCTCCTCGTCAGGCCGGCTTGCAGCGTTGGACGTTGTGGAAAACGGCTACTGGTTGGCTTTCGTCTCAAGGGCGTTCGTGGAGAAATGCTGCCTTCGCGTTCAACGCGGATAGACTGACTTGGGCGAGGCACGACATCACGTGATCTTGTCTTGTGAGAGAGGTTCCAGCTAAACGGCAGCCAGTTCTAGGCAGGTTCTAGTTCACAGTAGGAACCCAACTTGCCAAACAATGGATGACGATTGCGTAACAGCTGTATTATGGTTTTTATTCATTGTTTTCATTGTTAAGCACTACCAGAAACTTCTGAGGTCTATGGGGGAGCAGGCTGCCAATCCATGCCTTATCATCCAGGTGCGGGTACGGGCACAAACCCGGGCCGATAAGCTCCAGCGGGGTGCCGACCTTTAACTACGGCGGCCCCTACTATTGCGTAGAGGAGGCTAGCAGCAAGCGAGGTCGGCACGGGGCGGGGGAGTGCCGAAGCGGCTCTTGGGGGCTGGCACTGACGGCTGTTGACCTGTCGGCACAAGCCACCCCCCGCAAGGCTACCTAGCATCGCTCTGTACAGGCATACCGAAACAAGAAACAAAGAAGCAGCCATGACGCGCGCGTGATAAGCAATGTAGGAGCACAAGAGACATTATTGTTTCCTCCTACTCACAACTAACTACATACTACTTATATACCTTCGTCTTTGATTTGTCGTTTTCAGTCCTATTTCGTATCTACCTTTCGAGAGAACCATCTATAACTCCGCCTAATATCAGTGCCCCCCAAACCCCCACAGATCAGGCCCAGCATATGGAACCCTATTCTTTATCTGCCGCTTCGGGCTTTCCCCATGTCAGGATATGATCACCGATTCGCTCGAGGAATTTCAGATTATTCTGCACACGTATGATACAGCCAACCACTCAGCAACCACTTCGGCCATGTCATAATTAGTAGTTATAATAAGCTAATAAACTAAATCGCGAAAGATTCCTGCCACAGTACTAAGTGCGCAAGCGCCGTTTGCGGCAAGTTTCAATGACGTGGAGCCGCATCTTCACAATTTCGGTGCCTCGGATGCTCAGTATAGAAATATCCAGACCTTCGGCACAATCTCCCCGTTTCAAACAAATATTCCGGATGAATCATCAAAGTGGGAACAAAACAAACCGAAAGAGTATATTCCTTGCGCGGTTCCCACCATCACTTCGCCTCCGGGGATAAATCCTAGCGTGGAGCTGGGTGTTGAGCCCACCCAAGTGGAAATACGCATCCTGGCGGGATTAAGGGACCTGATACAAATTTTAGATTTGTCCGGGATATTGTTATCTGTGTCGCCTTGCTGCAAGGCACTGACAGGGTACGAATCGGAGGATTTAATAGGCAATGTCTTATTTGAGTTCATCCATCCAGATGACCGCTCAGTGGTCGTCAAAGAGTTTGCCCATTCAATAAACACAAAAACCCCGTTCCAATGTTTCTATCGTTTCAAGAAGCATGACGGGACCTATCTACTGCTAGATGCCCACGGTCAAATAGACTCAGCGACAAACATGAAGTTCTCGATAATCGCCCGCCCCTACCTGACCAAAGAAACGCAGCTTCTCGACTCATTCCTCGAACACAAACTCGAAAACGAACGTCTGACAAGACGAATCGCAGAACTGAAACGAGAAGGGGAATTTCAGCTTCATAACGATGAAAATAAACCAGACAACGAACAAGTTACCTCAATAGCTCCACAAGCCCATCACAATTTAACAAGTACCCCCGGCTTCCACCCTCCTTCTACTGGTGCATTTCAATTTAGACCTGCCACCGTACCAAACCCTAAAGCTCCAATACTGCCCAATGAGCCTTTCACAGGATCAAGCACAGATAGATTCCAGCCGTTAACGCCATCGCAGCCCCAGCATAACATTTCTCAGCCCGCTGGCTTCGAAGGGAGCACATACGTAGACGACATCGAGCTCATGACAGGCCTGCGCTATGGAGCAGGTGAACGGACGCGGGGGATAAGCACTGGCGACCCTAACGGCACTCTTTTCCAGAGCGTCGCGCTTTCAGTGGGGGTGTTCACGTCCAGCCACAGGGACGGTGGTAAGGGCGGCAAAGGAAATGCTGAACGGAAACGGAGGAGTAAGCCTACCGAAACGAATTCCTGCACTGATTGTGGGACGTTCTCGTCGCCTGAGTGGCGGAGGGGTCCGAGTGGGAGGAAGACGCTGTGTAATGCTTGTGGGCGTGAGTATTCCTTCTCCTTACTACTTATTAACTATTTCTAGCCATGCTACTTTTACGGATATCCGTTGTGATGAGCTGACATCTATCGTTGAAGTGCGCTGGGCGAAGCAGGTTAAGAAGCGCCAACAAGCGACGGGCACTACCACTATATAAGAGTGGGCTCATAATCTCTTAAGTAACTAACTGACTTGTTCTCTAACCATCTAGTTTAAAGGGTCCACTTTTCCTTCTTCCATACTGCTCGTGATGAATAATGATGATATCCGAAACTGCCCTTGTTCTGGACATGAATACGTTGATTTGAGCTTTTCTTTGGAATTCCTATTCCCCTGATACGATAGCCCATATCTTCTTCTGCTATATAATGTGTAATATTTACTAGTTACGCACGACTTATAACTACATCTACCCATATGTTTTTGGTGTATATATTAATTACTCTATATAAAGAGCGGGATTTTTTCCTTTATATTTTTATGGGACTTGAAACATAACCTTTATCAAATAAAATCCTGATTTCTCAGCTTTCGATATGCGTCAATATGCTCTGGAATGGGAGAAATAGGGAAACTGATACAAAGGGGGCGAAAATTTCTAAACTCAGACCACATACTTCCAAATCCATTCTGTGAAAAAAATCCTTGGAAGCAATCTCCCACATAGCAGTTAGGCAGGAAGGGGGAGAAAAACCCAGAAACGCCAGTTCGATAAATAGCAGAACGGAACAGAGCACAGGAAAAAAGTAGCACGAGATTGGTTTTACGTGTCCATCCGATTGTCACCGCCAGAGCCTCCCGTATCGCCCTCCTTTGGCCCTTCATCCGTTTCCATAGTTGACTTCGTCAGCTCCTCGTTCTCTGGCTTCGGGTCTGACAGCATTGCAGCGGTATTAGGCCCTGGCTGATCTTCGTTGGTCTCCTCTACAGGCTTCTCAGGTATATCGCCAATGAAAATATCTCCATCAGCATCCCTATCTGCATCGTCCTTCAAATCACGGCCGCTCGAGGGATCATTAACTGTAGCTCCTTGTGAAGTGTCTTTCAAATCTGCTGCTGAATCACTACCACTACGAACAACATCGGTGCGTGGGGGGCTGGTCGACAATGACATCTCCACCCCCTTCCCATCCTGCAATCCGATATCCTTCACGCCCAAAATATTTGGACCTCTCGCATGAGGCTCTTCCTCGACTTCATGCCCTTGTGCCTCTGCCACGCGCCCCTCACCTCCCAGGGACGAAGCTGTCTGGTGTTGCCGCTGATGCTCATGCTGTACTGTTGTAGGAACAACGCCAGCCTCTTGCTCCTGCCGAATGAGTTCGCCCTGCGTCATGGCGCCGGATTCTCGCGGCGGAACTGCGGAGGAGGACGGGCTGCTGCTACCGGGCGAGCTCGCACCTGCTCCACTCGAATTAGGACTAGAGTCAGGTTCTACGAAGCCATGACCACCCTTACCTCCAGGAAGATCAACATTGTTCAGCCACGGGATCGGGGTGAGAAGGGCCCCTCCAAGAGACTCATCGCTTCCCAGCGCATTGTTGCCACTGAGCGCGAAACTACTGCCCCCTGCCCCGTTGACGCCGTTGACGAGGCTAGTATCAATAATACCGCCAGGCAAAGGCATGGACACCGGTAATGGGAAAATATCTGCTCCGCTGGAAACCGATACGACACGGTCGACTGCACGGAGATACGCTGGTAACGTGCGGTAGTCACGGGTCGGCCGTAGTATCAACTCTGCCAGCCGCTGGATTGTATGGGGTGGTTTTGCGGGAAAGTATGTCTTTAGAGTGGATTTGATGGACGAGAGGATCACGACGAGGGGTGGAGGGAGGGCGTCGTCCGTCGGACCGGACTGTGGTTGCGAATCAGGAATGCGTTCGCTGGAGGCGGAGGATGGAAAAGTCGGAACTGGTGGTCGGCGGGGTGGAGTCTGTAGATGTGACGGCGGAGCATTTTCTTTATTGCTATTTGCCTGCGAGTTTACTTCTTGTGTAGAATAGGAAGAGGGGATAAGGCCTGAGTTATCAGCGGCTCCACTCCAAGGTGGAGGGACGGTGGGCATCGGGAAGTCATTGTGAATTATCTATGCGAACTGTTAGCCACCATGGGAGCTTTATTGCCTCGTTTACGCTTCCGGGTAGAGTTAAGCTCTTGTAAAGGAGACGTACATGTTCGAGTCGTTCGATTAAAGGGTCTAGCAAGCTAGGCCATCTCTCACTATATCAAGCACCATTTCACGGTCAACGGCGGAGCGCATAGACGAGCTTAAAGATATACGCAAACATACTAATCCATAGTTCCATCTTTGGCGACAGCCTCTAGCACTTCCTCATCTATAGCCAAAGGTCTTGTTAGCTTCGGCTCAAGCTTCGCGGGCCTAGGTACTGAACGCGCGATCTGGCGTAGCTAGTACGCAAGATTGAGTCCAGGTTGATGGATGAGACAACAACCATATAAAGTGGACACTTACCTAAAGACATTTTTTTTTCTGGAGTGTTTCTCCGTGCATTGAGCAGAGTCGAATAGCTTCCACAATGGTGTCGGCGGGGAAGTGTAAAATTCGTCGTATGGGAGTGTCAATATCAAATTGTTCAAGTCGCGACTTTGAGGTAGCGGTCACCTGATTTGATAGCTCAGCGCTTGCCCGTTGGCCAGACCCTTAACTATAACGATCACTAAACTTTAGGGGCACGCCCACCCCTGGAAGCTAGCCCCACCCGCTAAACGGTAACTCCCGTCTAGGGATCGTAGGCCCATCTGGCTCAACTGAACAAACGTGACAGATGGGTGTTGAGCACAGAGGCTTGACGCCCCAAACTTTCTGTTGGCCGCCATACTCCCCAACCACCAACCATGCTGTGACACGCTGGCAAAAACCAGCCAAATTTTGGGCCTCATCTTGAGGATTCCATCCATGGATGGAAAAAGCAGCACTGGTTGATCTGCATGTGAAGCCACTATGGAGAGACGCCACAATTCCTTCTCGTATTGGCACGTTGCAACCATCGAGACTGTGCAGGAGGGCTGTGCCTTGGTCCTCTTGGACGAAAGGATCAATAACGCGACAAGGGAAACGTTGAACGCTTATTGGAACTGGCCATGTGTCGATCTTCAGTGAACGGGTAACTATATATTGGCAACTATTTTCCTGATATTCAATTCTAGGTGCTAGAATTGGATTCTACCGCTACCCAATCATCCAACATTTTCGCTCTGTTTTTCCTAGCCATTGCAAATATCAGAGCCCTTCATGGGATTTGATAGATGGAAGAAGCGCCTTTCTGGGCTCGGTGCGAAAAGGCCATCTTCACAGTCTTTCAATTACTCTTCTGCGCCATCACCAAGAGATACCTCTCAGCAGAACTTTTTGTCTCCGAATAATGGTCCTCACCCAGCTGCTGCAGGAAACCCGCCATCACCTTCTTTGCGATATGTCGCAGGCCCAGCGCCAATCCCGATAGCATGGCCCCTTACTTACGCTGTTTATCCTGAGGAGGGAGTCCAAGCTTTGATATTCTATCATAAGATTAAGTCCGTGGTCAGTGGTGAGATGGACTGCTGGACTTATATATCTAAAGGCCTTGCTCAAGTGGGCCAGAAGGAGATTGTTTTCACCATTCGGCGTAGAGCTGGTGAACGAGAGGATCACCTACCAATCGCCCCCTTCCAATGGATGAAATTCGTTTACTCTGCGGCCAAGGATGGACAGAGAGTCGAGGAATTTCAACGCACGGAGTTTCATTCTCCGTCGTTTCTCGATAGGTCCGATTTCCAGTGGATCGTTTACTGCCCGGCACACCCCATCACCAATATCCCGGCTTCGTATTTCCCCACCGAGTGGCTCCAGGTTATCCCTCTTATCGCCCCTGAGGCAGAAGTTGCCCAAAAGTATGGGATTATGAGAGCCCTTGGACATCTAGGTGCCCAGGAACGGTGGTTCCCTTTTCCTCCATGGATAAATCGTGATCGCCAACCATGCATCACTATGGCGAGCATGGCGGGAAGTGTGAAAGATTCAATACCGCTTGTTATCGTCAGGGGCATCAGCGCGTTGAAGAGAGGCATGGAGATTGTCCTCCATGTTCCACGGGAATCTGCTTTTCATCTTAAACACGCATTGACACAATTTCAACTCGAGCACGTATTCGCGCTAGATTCGTACCATTACAAAGACGCAGACTCTGGGTTACTTTGGAGCAATACCGATGTGCAACCCAGAGGATATGCAGCGGGCACATCGAATACCTGTATGAATCTGAATTATTTCACATTTTGTCCCTGTCAGGAGAAGAACGAACTTAAAATGGTAGAAGACGGTTTCATATGTAAGCTCCTCCAAGCCCTAAATTTTTCCTACAAAGCACTGGCATGCGCAAAATATGTTCTTTTAACCAGCCGTCAAGCTAACTCCTAAACCGCCATGACAAGTCATGATAACAAACTATACATGGGCGAGCCTGCGCCAGTACATTGACCAGTCAACATCGACTAGCATCGCTCTCCCATCAGGGCTACATTTCATTCTAGAGTTTGAGCAGTCACCATCGGCTCAAAGAGCTGCCCCTTCCCCGGGCCCTCCAGCAACCATGCCACCACCCACCACCTCGCGACCAGGCACGAGGTTTGTCGAATATACCCCCGAGAACCCGGTCCCTGAATCCCAAAAGCCATACCACGTCCATTGTGACCACATCGTTCTACTCGACAATAACGTAACGGCAGCAGGGGATCTGGATAAACTGACTAATTATATTAAATCGATCGAGAAAGTTTTGGACGCAACCGTCCCTAAAACTATCCCGCCCAGTGCCATTGGAGGAGGGAAACTGCTCATCGAGGCTGATGTTGGGGGTCCTGATAGAGATGACCTCCTTAGTCGTGAATGGGTCAAAGTCAGCTTCTCCCCGCCACCTCTGGAGGCTTTACCTATGCCTCAGATATATTACGGAGTCTCGCGCGTACCGAAGCCGGATATTGTGCCGAGGACTAAATTCTCCTTGGCGTTCAATGTTTGGGGTTTCAGGGGACCATGGTCTTAGATGTGAAACTGTTTACCACCCAAAGTCGCTTTGTTAATCTTTTTTAGCTGTCTCTATATATGTATCTAAAATACTCTTCCCCTTTCTACATTGCTACGAGGATGGTCTTTGCTGTTATTAAATTGCCCATGACCACATCTGTTCTTGCTTCTACGATTTTTTTCAATTATGATTAGCATTCGTTTGTATGTGATAGTTTTTAATATATGAGGTACTGACGTAATGACTATGTTTCCAGCTTGTTAAAAATGGGGAGGAATGTTGTCCAATTTCTCCTTTCTAATTTCATTTACTAGCTAGTACCCAAAACTCTCAATTCAAGATATATTATCCAAATATATCTCTGTCCGTTGCTTCCATGCCTAGCTACTATCCCAACTCCAGACTGCACCCGCCTCCATATATTGACCCAGCCGGCTGAGGTCAACATGGCCATCTCTATAACAAATAGAAAAGAAAAGAGGGAAGAGCGTCTACAGTATCGAACCGCCAAGACAGGCAAGCCACACAATGGCCAATCTCAAAATTCAAATTCAAATTCAATTCAAGAAGGCGAGTCATAACTTGGCTTATTTTCGTCGGCCACTCGGAACAACAGACATACATTCGTTTTCGAGATCAGCATAAAAGCCTGGGTGGTTGCTGTTAAATCCTAGAAATCCTTCTTCTGCAACAACTTATATCGCTTTGCACAGCCAGCGGCGACACTTAAGATCTACAACGGGAACAGTTCTGATTTTGTCTGCGAATCGCTAATGAATTGCTCTGTCAAGGGGGCTGAGCGACGATATTTTGATCAAGGCCCGCAATGTGTTAGAGTTCAGTAGGTGTGAATGGTGATATGCATGGAATGCATAAGGTCCTCCACAGTTGGTGTTGTGGTAGAGCATTCCAGTTCTCGGGTTTGTAGCAACAACGAGGGCCCAATGAAAGTCTTTGAAATTCGCCATTTCAAACACGGCGATGTAGACTCCCCCTATCTCGAGACTGATATGTTGGTTACCGGCCACAGCGCCCCGAGCTACATCTGAGTCGGAGGGTAGTTCAAAGGCGCCAGCATCGAAAGAATTTGGCGGCTTTTCGCCCGATAAAGGCTAGCCATATTTTTTGTTCAGATGAAGGCTTGGAAGAAGATCGCCCGAGCATCGCGGTGTATAGCGGTTCGAGTAATTAGCCAATCGAGCAGGATATGGATATTTCAAACAAGCATAACGAGCAGGGGGTCAAATCAGAAAATTAGGGATGGGCAAGGTCTTCGAAAGCTTGTACTGGAAGCTGTTTATATTAAGGAAGGAAAGAGGTCAGAGTCGAATTAGAATTGGGCTGTTTCTTAAAGCCCGCATAGGACATGGAATAAGAAGTAGAGAGATTCCTCTCTTAGATGGAAATCCAGAATTCTCAACCCTATGATCAGAAATCGACCACTCGAAAAAGCTAACACAGGGTCGAGCAAACAGTGTATGGGAACTTAAAACCAACTGGATTTCAGGGTCAGCTTCAACGCTGTAGTTAAGGATACACTCGAAGTGGCATCACCACTAGCAGGGTTAAACGCCATTCCAAGACAACACCCAACAGCTATCCCACAACCAGGTCGAAGAAAACATTTCCAATGGCTCAGCGTGGCCGGAGGACGTGAACATGGTAAAAAGGTTTGTATTGGCTACAAAACAAAGTAGGAAACCCTCTCAAACCTTTCCAAGCTTAGAGGGCATTTCCAGTTGTTGTGTGATATACTCCGTAGAGTCTATAAGTTACTATTTGATAAAGAAGAGGTTGGCACAGGCTAGTTACCTATTACGGACTAGCGCACCGCACACATCACCCTTTAGCGTACGGGGACCCTGAGAAAAGTTTTGTCTTACACTAAGAATTTATCCTGAAATATGATTACTAGTGTATTGAATCTCCAGGCCACACCACCTGAGATTTAGGCAGTGAGCTAGTGAGTAAGCTAGGGGCATCGCTTTCTAGAAGCCCCCCTGAGAACTCCCTATCTTTTAATTAAGGGATGGAATGACAATACTTAATGTTAGTATCAGCATTTCAGTTTAAAACTTTTCGCAGGAGCCTCTGTAGTGTATGGTAGTTTAAATAAGATGTTATCATGAATCAGTTAGAGTCATACTGAGCTATTTTTTCTGAAGTTTGAATCATAGTTAATAGGAAAAGTCACATGCTTTGCATGGTGTCATCTTCTTGTAACTTCAGTGATGAAGTGACACATCATATTCATTTGCAAAGAATTTGTTGGGGGTCCCCGGTTGATCGGCCCTTCTACCAGCAGTGCGCTGGTGGTGACTGAGCTCTTTTGCCCCAGTAGCCTAACTACAGAATTAAACTCAATTCACACTTCATATTAGTCATATACATACTGAGCATTTGCTTTCATCCTTGAAAACATGAAGTCCATGGGTGTGGAGGGGTTCCAAGGTGCATATCTGACAACAACAGACATCATATTATCTGCCAAACTAACAGCTTTTGAACATATGGCTTTAAACTACTTTTCTACATCATTCATATGCTCCTGCTGTTTCAGGTCAATATGTACATGACCGGATATCCCAGAATGTACCGTGGAAGAGACATTGCGGTCTATCTGGAAAGACTTGAAGACTCTGGTGCTGAAATGTAAGCTGAGTGCAGTTTTTACAACCTGATTATATACCATCTGCAATGTTAACATATCTTTTGACAGGCGGTCATGATTACCATGTCCCCGTGAATGTTCAGGCCGCCCTTAATGAACGCGATGGCCCCCAATGTTGTTAAACCCACATATTGTGTTTCTCCATATATTTTGCATGACCCTGGTATTGAAGATGGGGTAACTACTTCTTCCCGCCTTCCATACGCACACGCATACACACATATATATATATATGTATGAGGGCTTCCCAAGGACACTTCTTAACATTCCTTTACTCCAGGCACCGTTACGGCTACTCTTAGCAGCCATCCTAACCAAAGAGGGCGTTGAAGAGCTGTTCGCTCTTCTTGGATCTTCCAGTGTGGAGGATCAGCTTAAAAACCTTTGGCTGATGGGACCATCAGCGCGTAATGCTTTCCACCGGGGGCAGATTTACATTTTCAAGTTGTTGTGTCTCGAAAGTGACAATGGCATCCGGTCGACTCGGAACAATAACGGGGTAAGCTCTCCTTTAACGGACTCTCAGAAACTTTTAGGTCTTAAATATTCACACCAGGCTTTAGTGGGAAGTTAGAGTTAATGATCCCCAAGAATATAAACTTGGAAAGACGTTCCCCGGTTCTATAAAACACCTTTAACAAAGGATCCCAAGAGTCATCCCCTACCAACTGTATTGCTCTTAAACTTTCACCGTCGAATTTTTGTGAATTTACACATGCACATAGTAGAACACGGCGTGCAAAGGGGATGGGCACCACTCAAGCAAGGTATAGTGTATCTAAATAGTTGGTTAATCCTTCCGCTAACTGTCTCGCAAAGGTTGGGCTATTGGGTCCGTGGGAATCTTCTTCCTCCGAAATTTCCTATCTATTCTACCTAAATTTGTTCGACTAGCACTTTACAATTTCATCGACCGGCAATTAGATTCCCGAGACCCCACACAAACAGATCAACCAGTAAAGTACCTCCCACTCGGTCTTTGTCTTAAGAGAGGCCGTCGGTATACTGAAAACGAAGCAATTTCACTGCCCCTTGTTGAAAAAGACTCCCCAATAATAAACGCACCAAAACTGATCGATCATGTCAGAATCGACGAATCCTCTGGTTTCGTTCTAATGACACAAGTCTACGGACATGCTCTTAACCAAGTCTACTATCGAATAACGCACGAGGAACTTGAACAGATAGCAAAAGACTTGGCGCGGTGGATAACGGAGCTGCGCAAAATCCCTAACAAATCGAAGCACCTCATTGCAAATGCATCTGGAGGCCCAATCTGCGACCACATGTACGAAGGCCGCACACTAGGCCCTTTGAACTCAACGGCAGAATTCGCCGACGATCTCACTCAATTCCTCTTTCAGCCCGAGCAGCATAAACATCAGCCGCCCATTGCCACGCTATACGAGAAGAGGTAATGTTTGTTTCACCCACAGCGATTTGCACATGACAAACATCATTATTAGGGATGGACGTCTGTTTGGACTAATTGATTGGGAAAATTCCGGCTTCAAGCCAGAGTATTGGGAGTTCGTTCGAGCCATGTGGCCTTGTGGGGGTGATAAACATGACACGGCTATCTACCGTCAAGCTTTTGGGGACAAGTATGACGATGAGTGGGAAGCGCTGGCGGGTCTTCTCCACAACAGTCCCTTTATTTTTGGATGGTAGATACCCCTTTATATACATGCCCTTTCATTTTATTTTATTTTTGGCTTTCGGGGATTTTTCCTTGTACGAGGGTGCCGAGTATATCGGGCAATTTGACGGCTCACAACCTCCTTTAGCTTTTTCATCAGTGGAGCCTGGAGCTTATGGACTTCAGCACAGCATTAATTATTACTATGACGGGGTGGAATCGATCTTTATTTTCAGGATGTATTGCGAAATGAGGAATGATACTTGCCAATCTCGACTTGAAAAGTTGATTATATATTACAGCCAGCAGCACTACCGCAATCGTGCTTTTGACAACGTGCGTCTCGCTGTTAACGTTACCAGTAGTATTTTATTCCCCAGTCCCCAAGCAAGCTGATGACAAACTCAAATAAGATAGTTCTATACGCAAGGGTAGAGTATTATATCCAGCGGGTTTCAGGTGTCATTGTGAATAAATAATATGTAGTTAACTCAGAGCCTAGAGGATTTTCCCAGCCCCTAACAGCATCAGGTTCCTTGCACACAAAACCGCCGAGTTCACGCATAAGTTACATATATGGAGTACAAAATGCGAGGAAACAAGGAGGTTCATTCACAATAATCGGCCACTTTGCATTTCTCAAGACGGGGATTTTATTTTTAATAAAACACAGGTGATGATTTACCTTGGAATGAGCGAACGAAGTATCAATTAGTTTTTTAGTTTACCGCTAAGTCAGCAAGTGCTCTCCACATTCACATCTTCCATCACCGTGCCTGCTCAATAATAGTAAAGGATAAATAAATAAAAAATGGGCCTGGATCACACCTAATTAATAATAAGCTGAGTAATTCAGTAGTTAAAAGTTAGGAAACTGCAACAGCAATCAATATGAATATGATGAGAAAAGTTCCCGAGGGCAGGGCTCCCGGGCGGCTACTGCGTAAGTCGCAATAAGAGAATACCCGGACAGCGAGCGGAGTGGTGGGTGATGGGACCTTTTTCTATCTATCAATGTCGATCTGAGCGTTAATTTAACGTATTTGTACTCCGTACGGAGAATGGAGTTAGTTATATATTTTAATAATTAATTACATTATTCACCCAGTTCAAGCAAGCTGATGTTCCAAGTATTATGTATGTATGGGTGCTGATAATTGAGATGTGCCAGCAAAAAATCTACATCTGCGCCTCAATTCAATGCCAGGTTTAATGAATTCACATATCTACAGAGTGAGTACTGAGCATGGGTATTAGTTATCCGTATTGCCCTGCCCCGTTTACGGACGGGCCCATATCAAGATGCGGCTATGGATAGCAGGCCCTGAATTTTCTTCAATACGAAATTATCCCAGGCACCTTATGTGCAAATACCTATCTGTCAGGTCAGGCCAACCGCGAAGAAGAAGAAAAACTATCCCAGGGCGCAATTTTAAACGCTCTCGGCCATTACACAGTAGTCATCATAGCCTGACAGCATGTCAGGCGTTGTACGGAGCAGATGATTCCACTTTCACCCGCTTTAAAGAAACAAGCGCTTCGAACTCACTCCCTGAAAGTATCGAGAAGAACCATCTATGTTTGCCTCTGGAGCTTGGAAACGCCAAGGGACAAGGGTGCCTTGCCTTCTCTTATGTGACTTTGGGACCCCAGCTAGTATAGGCATAGAGCTCATTGATCAACTCATGCAGAGGAACCAAAAGTGAATTGTTTTGCAGCTAGCTCCCCTGCTCACCCATTCTTGCGCAAATTGGAAATCAAATAGGCATATCTGGGCGGCTTTCCGAAATTTAGCTACCCACCCCCATCCAGCTTGATATTCTGAGCCACATAACCTTGAGATTATGGGTGCAGATCTCGCTCATGGACCGTGAGAAAGAGCAAGCGCCCTGGATGTGAAGTGTGTTGCAATCGTGAGCCAGAACCAACGGCCGCTCCACCAAAGCAACCCGGTCGTTTTGCACCACCAACATACAGTGTACTTTTTGCCTGAGGTCTTTCTTTGACTGACCGCAAGGGAAATTATTCCCGAGGCTTGGCTTGGGAGGACCAGGGGGGTGAGAGGGACGGTATGTTTGTAACAACTTTTCTCATCACCAAATTTTATTGGGGGGGTGGATGATGCGTTGTTAATATGATATGGAATGATAAATGTGGTACAGAGTGTCAGTTTGGAATGCTAGGCTGCCGCCACTCCACTCCATCACCCACACAGTTGCGTTTACGATCGTGGTTGCAGCTGTTGCCTCGTGGCTCGCGGGTATTCATGAAACTGGGTGCGATTGATTAATGGGGTAACGTATAGGTTAATGTACGAGCAGTTTTCTGAAAACCCCTCTGGCGTAGCGCACTGCTCTCAAACAAAGACATGTACGGAGTCGTGTAAGAGGGTGGATGGGATGGGTATGACCAAAATTTCAAGGAACAAGGAACTTCCACAAACTCTGTATGGTCTAGGAGGAGGTGGGGGAGAAGAAACACGACCAGTGGCAAAGCTTGTGGCACATCGAAGCTTTTCCTGTGTTCTGTTATTGTGTGAGAATGGCTGCTTTTTCTCATGTTTTGTTTTTGGTTTGTTTGGGGGGAGGAGGGAGGGTAGAAGAAAAAGTTCCCATTGTCCTTGAATAACAGGCAAATTTTTGAGGTGGATAAAGGGAAAAGTTTAAGGCAAACCTGAGTGGTTCATGAGAGGGTGAGAGGTTGATAATGATAAATATAGCAAAAAATAATTAATTGGAGGGAGAGATGAGCTGGGCAAATGAGCACTTATTGTCAATTGATGAAACTAAAATAATAAAGCAACACTGCAAGAGGACAATCAAAAGTATCTAAGATCTCTTTTGTCTCTTGTGAATCTGGTTGCCTCAGAAGTGATTCATGCTGTTTTACTTTCCCTTTTTTGTTTTTTTATGATAACTAAAGTTTGCTTTCCATTGTCCACTTGCTTCTCTATTTTTATAACTATTCTTATTATAACTATTCTTATCATAAGTCTCGATTGCATATGATATGAGACTAGTTGTACGGAGATATCAACGTGAGATGTAGAGTGTCTCAGGCTCGGCATGCCCTGAGTGACACGCCGGGGATGAGTCGTCGAGGAGGGCACATTTATATACGCTGTAGAGATTATCAGGGCTATTCCAAATTCCACGCTTCTGTTGTCACCGAGAGTCTACATTTTAGCCATTGAGCCAGTGAGCTCCTATCTTCTTTCTTATTACAGGGACAAGGCTGATGTTTCAGAGGGTCCGTTTTGTTTGCCCCTACATACCATACAGGCCCGAGGCAAGTGGATAGAGAGAATGGAAAGCTCTCCCTAAGCAGGCAAAAGGGGACCATGGTCCATCTTGGTTATTAGAGTGCTTTGTTTGTTCTTGCGTAAATAACTTAACTATACTAATTGATTCAACCGTTCATCCATTCCATCCATTATTAGCTATATTCTTTCAATTATTTCCCAGGAAGCAAGCATGAGAAGGTCATAGTACCGTACCAGCCAGCGATAATGACAATACCTGTTCCGGGAGTGTATTTTTCCTCCCAAGGCGTACGCAGTACTGTACTTACGCCGCGTACGGAGTAGGTATCCAAACACTGGCTCTCCACAAAACCGGAGAGTCCTTGGGCCAATCAAAAAGCCAGGCTGTGGTCATTCCAGGGTTCCGCCCAGGCCCAGATCTTCTTGATCTCCCTCGAGGTACTGTATGTACTACTGTACATAGAGCACCCCTTTGAGGGAGGGAACCAGTCAGGAACATGATAGGGTCCTACTCCTCGTCCTCCCCCCCTAGCCTGAGCCACAATGGCATATGTAGCATGACTTGTCAGCCCAAGAAGAAGAAGAAGAAGAAGAAGAAGAATAGTAATATTAATACACGTACGGAGCACATCGGGGTTCTTCCTCATCATCGTCATCACCAGGAGGAAGTCTGGAGCCAGCACGTTTTGGACCGGCGGCGGATCAAGCCCCCAAGCCGCCCGCGCACCATTGCTAGAAACGGCTAGACAGTGCCCAGGCCCGGGTTGCCAGTGTCAGCCAAGAGCCCCAACCTGCGGTGGGCCAAGCCAAGGCGAGGACTTCCAAGGCCACACCTAGGTATTATTATTATTGTCACGTACGGACCGTCTTGTCACCGTACCGCCCGTTCAACCTTCCCTTCCTCACCTCAACCTCACCTCACCCTCACCACAACCTCCAACCTCTTTCCATCACAACACACACACACACACACACTCTCTCTCTCTCTCTCTCTCTCTCTCTCTCTCTCTCTCTATATTTCCCATCCCTCTCTATCCTTCTCTCCCTCCTCTCTCTCTCTCTCTCACCCTCTCTGACTTTTGTTTCCTGTCGTTGAGAGGTTCCTCCCATTTCTTCTTCCTGATAATCTCTCAGACTGCGGCTTTCTCCCTCTTTCCCTCCCTCTCGGCTTCAACCTGACCCTCCTCAATCGCCGCTTCACATGGGTGAATCTCCACCCAGCTCCCGTCTTTCCTCCCATCAATAACTGGCCATGATATTCGTGCACCTCCTTCCACTCACCGGTCGGCTCTCGATCCCCTCTCTCCTTTTCGTCACCGCTCGATTCGACCCCAGCTCTAGCTTGTTCTGATGACGGAACTTTGCTCGATTGCCACGAACCTATTACTGACTCCCTTACCCGTCCACCCGGGCTCGACTGGCACCCATTCTATTCGAATTCACGATATCTCCGGCCTCCCATCGCTGTCAATCCCTTTCCCAAGATGGCGTCTCTCATAATTCCAGAGGGTGGCATATGCCTTCGGAGAGCAGACACACCTGGGGACGCCTCCTCTCCCGACCCCTCCAGCAAACCAAGCCAGATAATGCGGCTGAATCTGGCTCAGACCACCCTCGACGAACTCGTCCAGAGTCTGCGTAACGATCAAAAGGCCCGTATCCGTCTGGGAAAACACCAATCGCTCCACTACGGGAACAAGTCTCAGACCTTCTTCTCGTCGCCTGAAAGTCACCGTTCAGAAATTTACTGCTACTCTCCTTCATCTTCTTCGTCTTCTACAGCCAACAATGCTTATTTTACTGGCGTGCTCAGCCATAAACTGGAGGTGGAGAAAGCTCGTGAGGATACTGCTGCTACGGATGAAGCATTGGCCAATCTGGAGCAAAGACTGAGTGCTTTTGAGAAAGGGAAAGAATCTAGAAAAACACCCATGATCACAACAATTGACCAAATGAGGGCTCTAGGTGCCGGGGACAACCGCAGCGCAACCGGGAAGGAAGCGGCTTCATTGGCCCGCATGCCAAGAAGTAAGATTGATGTGGAAAAGGAGCGCTTTTTTCAGCATGCTGCCAATCGATCGAATTCCGCTAGCCCGGGCCTTCTTGGTGCACGTTCGCCAGCTGCTGCCACTCCTATGGCGCCTCCTAAATCAGCCTCTCTTCCCCAAAACAAAGACAAAATACGCCTCGAAGCTCTCCGTGTTCCCTTGACCCATCTGCTTGCTGTCCGCCCAGTTTCTGTCAGATTTTTAGCGCAAAAAACTAGATCGTCCCAGGAGGACTGTTTGGCCCTCGTACAGAAATATGGTGTCGAGAATAGATTAAATCGGGAAAAGTATGGCCTAAAAGACAAGGCGTACAAGGATCTTGATATCTGGGGGTTTCCGTACCCTTCGGAGGATGAGCGGCAGGAGGCTATCGAGAACGCCATTTCGGCCTTTGACCGAATGCGGATTTCACGCGCGGATAAGCTTTGGCAGATGCTGCTTCCAAAGGCTGAGAGGGGAAAGGGTAAAGTGTTATCTCGATTAAACCTACATACCGGCCCGATAGCCAAAAGCACCACCTCTCGAGTTAACGCTCAATCCTCTGAAGATGTATCGAAAGAAGGATATGGAACCGGCAATGAATCAGATCGGACGACCGGTGCTATAACCCCGAACCAGCAGAATGGTAATATTTCTGCGCGGTCAGGAAGTACAGCACAAAAGAAGGAGCCCGCAAATAAGAATGGGAATGCAAAACGTGCAGGCGCTAGAGCAAAAAATACTACATTGACGGGGAGAGTAACGAAGAAGACTGATAAGAAGACAGAGAAAAAATCTGCAGCGAAACCAGTTACAAAGTACAAATCTGCGGAGTTTGTACATGATTCAGATGAAGATACGGAAATGGCTGATTCCCCACCTCTGGGATCGTCCACGGCCCCCACGAGCGATACGGTAGCGAAGCAGAACCAGGCAGCAAGAGTCAACAAAACGTCCGTGAAGAGCTTTCCACCTTCAACGTCCACTACACCCAAGCCGGCCGAAGCAGAAAAGCCAGCCAAAGCGAAGTCTCAGTCCATGAAAACGATTCCCTCTGCTACAGCAACTACTCGTACAGCCAGCAACAGTTCTCCACAAAAACCTTCTCCACTTGGCTCATCGCCTCCCACGAATGCATCCGAGCTAGAAAGCGGAAGGCGATCCTCCAATACCACGCAGTCGTCCAGCTCGTCCTCTCCTCTTATGGTTCAACATTCCAGGGCGAAGGCCGCCTCTACTGTTTCTGGTATCCAGGCACCAAGTGCGGTAAATCGTGACCCAAAGCCAGCCTCAAGTACCCTGAAGCGCAAAGCCGAGACGGACCAACCGCCCTCACACCATCAAAATCATGAGCCAAACGGGATACGGCATCCAAAGCCCCGCCCCCATCCGCTTCAAACTCCTGCGACAAATGGCCGCTTCATGGAGCCGAAACGGCGCCGCCTCTCCAGCCCATCCAGCGGCAGCACTACAGGCAGCGCCTCACCGCCACGGAGCCTAGAGATACTCCGCCAACGGCTACGCGACAAAGCACTACAATTCAAGCGGTATTATGCCTCATATCGACTTCTACACCAGGAGATGACCAGCCATCCAGACCCACCGCCGAGCGAGATTGAGAAACTGGAGCGGCAGCATGAGCGGTTGCAGAAGATGAAGCAGGAGATTTGGGAAGAGGATCGGCGCTTGAGAACTGGATAACGAGCTTATTTGCTTAAAAGAATTTGTGCTTTTTATCGAATATCACACTCCTATATTTTTATTCGGTAAGCATTATCAATCATGAGGTGGCGCGGGCCCCGCGGTACGAATATCCTCTTGTTACTGCGGAGTGGCCATGCTTATTTATGTTCATTTATTGTTATCCTGTTATGGCTAATTGGGATTTTCTGGCTACCCTTTTTATTTTATTTTTTCTCCCGCGTAATATTCCTACACATACTGGCTAATATTAATATATATATATATATATATATATATATATATATGCCTTGGGTTCGTTTATGAGGAATGGCGTATCTATCTCATTTCTTTCTGTTTTTGGCATGTCAATTGGGAATGTATGTATGGGAATTAAATATTTTTGATTTTACTTATATAGCCAGGAAGGGTATTATATATTTGGCCATATATTTGATTCTTTTATCTACAAAGCATGTATGTAACATTGTTCTGCATCTCTCAGAAGGTGCCCAAACAATATAGGAACCTGGTATTGAATGGTGTCATCCAATAAACAATCCTCCTTCCTCAGCATTTCTACAGTTTGCCTGGCCCCAATTACATACATACAGCATACACTATTTACTCCAGCAATTCTGATAATGTATCCTCCCTCCTGCCCACTGCTACAGTATCAGCGTGCTACCGTTTATGTGCATCCACTTTCCCTCCCGATGAGGTTGTTCTGTGTCACCCAAGCCCAAGCCCCCCCCAGCCCGGCCCAACCCGCTGCCCGCGCCAATTCGCAAAGTAACGTAACAGGGTATATATACGGTACCAAGTGGGTGTTCGTTAAAATATGTTCGGGTGGTGCCGTTGTCAATACGGTAAGTAGATACAGCGGGGCACCACCTGAGTAGAGTAGGTAGAGTAGGTAGTTAGGGTGGCCCAGCACACTCAGCACACCAAAAACACCACACCACGCACCATGTAATAAAACCCACAACGACCCACACCCAGCCTGCTACTACTGCATGCATGGCTACGTCATTTACACCTCTCGTCTCGTCTCGTTGCACGGGAGGAGATGAGCTGAGATTGGGGGGGGGGAAGGGTCGGGGGGAAGAGTAAACTATCATGCTATAATATTGTTAACGACAATTACTTTTGCGATAACTAGTTAGTTAAAGTTGCTGGTGAGTCGGGGGAGAACTTCTGAGGTTCCACAGCTTGGTTTTAGGTTCCTGCGGACCGGCCGACCGACCAGATATGATCGATACTTATGAACCTAGATAGAACATCCGCCCATGGTGGATCTAACCTATATATACATGTATGTACATGTATGTACTGTACATTCATCCGGTCCATATAATAGGTTGGGTGTTGGGCAACAGGGCTTCCCTGGTAGACCCGGGCGGGCGTTCAGAGAGAGCTAGCTCTACGCTGCGTATATTCCCTGTATCTTGGTTTTTTGGATTGGTAACTTATCAAGCCCAAGGCTAGGCAAAGGTTCATGATTCATATGGATTAAAGCTGTACAGACAGGCCCTTGTTAGTCTATGGAACTTCCCCAACAAAAAATAGATGCGGAACATCCCACATCCCACGGATAATAGAATGATGTTGGTAGATAGTCCGTAGTTCTTCCAATGATGATGATGATGATGATGATGATTCTTTGCTGTCTTATCTTGGGGGTCATTGGTGGAGATTTGTTATGTGTAGCAGAACATTTGAAGTTGTACGGAGCATCTGTTTTAATTCCATGCCTGCTGCTGCTGCTGCTGCTGGCCCTACCCTACCAGTGGACCGCTAAGCTTGCCAGGGAGGGTTAATATGCATTCCTTTCCCCCGGGCTCTCACTAGTAGGGAGCTGTTTTACGCTGTACATATAACTATGTTTCTTCATCACGACGTTTGCTTTGCGCGGGGGGTAGGGATTTATATCTCCGAAGAGATGGAAAGGAAAAGTTCGCCCGTGTGTTTGCGCCAATGAGGGTTTGCTATAACTAGTTGGAGTGAGTCAAATGAAGAGAGGAAGAGAGAGAAAGCGAGAGAAAGCGAGCGATGGCTGTGAAACGAAGTTGGTGTAACTAATCAATCATTTGCAGGTGGGTTTGAGATCTAATCCCGATTTGCTCTGTCTGGTGCTCGTCACCAGACACGGGGATTTTGTCTTTTTTCTTTTCTTTTCTTTCTTTTTTTCTTTCCTTTTCTTTTCTTTTCCTCTTCTTTTTTTTTTCTCCCTTTCAAAGCACCCATGCTTGCGTATATGTACATGTATATTTCCCTCATAACATGAAGGGTAAATAGTATTTGTTTGCTATGGTATAGGAGTAACGATTAACGATTCTACATACTTCAAAGCATCGAAGTACTTTTAGAGATATTCGGGACTAACCGTCTTCGGCCTAGCGCCAATGCACGGCATCCAATGTCTAAAGAGCGTCATCAATGAAGTTGATTTTGATTGCGCCTTTAAGACACCAAGATCCAGGCCAGAGTCGAAATAAGACAAAAGCACAGTATTTGAAAGCTGAGAGGTATTCGACATTAACTTTGAGCTACTTACCGAAAATCGTTGGTTGGTTCCCTTCCTGAATTGGGTAACTTGCTTGAACGTTCCATCTTCCACACCCCTCCCGTTTGCAAGCCACCCCCTTGGACCTCTACAACAGCATGTCAATTTGGAGTACAGAGTAGCTGGAGTCAGCAATCTACGGACTGAAGAAGGAACAAGAGGGTAAAAAAAGAGGTGCTTTTTCGATAACGGCTCCCAAGTCTCCCCCTCTATCGGTTATCCCGCTTCGATTCTACTACGGCGAGCGGAACGTTAGGTTGATCTATCAGTCTAGGTGTTAGGGTTTGTTGTATGTCTGGGACTCCTTAGAGAGGGACATATATACTAGGTGCATACATCTTCGTGGACGGAATAGGACCATTCAACCACCATGTCTTACAAAGGTGGAGGAGCTAGCGGGAGCGGGAAGGGGAAAAGGGAACGCGGCCCTACAGTGCTGGTGAGTTATCTGGCTATTACGTTTCTCCCTTGGCTATAACTACCTAGGTACCTAATTGGCATTGCTTGACCTTGTGGACTGTCAATTCCATCCTGGCAGCTTATAAGAGAGACAGACAGAAGATTAACGAATGCGTTCTACGATAGGTCACGGACTCCCGCGACCCGGCATACAACCCCGGACGTGGCGACTCTCAAAATAACGCTTCCTCCCGCTTCATAACTGTCGATAACATTCTCCAGTACACATCTGATGTCCCTTCAATGCAACAGCGACAACCGCCCCCCGGTTTCCGAGCGCGACCTCGCTCGAGGTCGGGGGTGCTAGCAAGTGCCGCGGCATCAACTGATCTTAGGGGGTCCAGTAGCATGGACCCGAGGTTGAGAGCGGTGGGCAGACTGGCAGCGTTGCAACATTTACCACCACGATCAACTAAAGTCAGTGAGAAATTGGTGTTGCTTCCGGAAACAGTGACCGAGGAAGGAGAGACTGGGGAAGAGGAAGAGGAAGAGCGAGACGAAGGGTATGAAGGATTCGATGGTGCTGTAGATGAAGAACGTGGGCCACGGATACCGGCATCTGCAGCTGAAACAGCCCGTCGGATTGCTGCTAGTAAAAAACAAAAATTCCACAAAGCGCTCGGAGATTTCGATCAGGATAACGAAGCTTCGCCACTTCTAGCGGAGGAGGAGCGTCTGAAACGGCGTCGTGTTCCTCCTGAGAGAGCGAAGAGTTATGCGGAACGTTTGTCCAAGGCTCATCGTGCAAAGAAGCTCCCCCGTGTTACGGCCTATTGCACAGCGCAGGGCTACAAGATTAGTTCCACTGCTGCATTTGTGAAAGAGTATCATGGCTCGAGGACGAAATTGTATGATGACTGCCTGTATACCGCGTATCATTTGCCCCTGTTGCCTGGGAAGGGGGGTTATAGGATTCGGAGTAGCCCGATTCTGAAAAGTGCGGGCGGCAAAGCTGTTCTAGATGAGGAGATCGAGAGGAACGAGCGGAGGGATTACCATGATGAATACTATGCGGAGGAAGATGAACATTCCGTCAAAGCTCATGGGTTTGACGGTGCGGGATCCGAAGACCGGACAGCACAGCGCGAAAGCGACGGTGAGGGACGAGCGGAAACAAATGGTGTCACAGCCCATGAAGAGCAGGGACAACACAACCGCGCGGATAAGGATCGGAACGCAGCCAATCTACCCCCAGCAATTTCCGTAGCCAGGATCCCGCCCAATGCCTTGGCATTTGCAGAAATGTTCATCTTCAGCTATGGGGTTGTCGTCTTCTGGAACTTCACGGAAAGGGAAGAAAAGGATGTCCTAGCCGATCTCGCCTTCGCTTCGTCAGAAAGAGGGGGAGCCCCCATACCCCTGGCCACCGCGCCATTACCTGAGGAGGACTTTGAAACGGAGGAATTTCATTTCGAATACTCCGAGAAGATATCTCGACCCCGTGTGTACAACGACATGATAACGTTGCGCAGTGGAGGCCATATGATCAAGCTTGCCATTAGCCACGGGATAGCACAGAGCACGAAGCTGAGCTTCTTCGAGGAGGTGATGGCGAGGCAGATGGCTGAGGCGAAGGACGTGCCTCGAAGGCTGGCGCTGACGGGCCACCTAGGAATGAAAAGGGAGGAGGTATTTCGCATACTAGGGAAATTGTTTAGGAGTAGAGTTGAGGTGAATTTATGTAAGTTTGTTCCTGCCTTACTGCACGGTTCATGGATGGGTCGCACGTAATGGTCATTTTGAACGGAATATCTAACAAAAGGACCAACATCTCAATAGCGTCGAACATGCTTGACGTGCCTTCCTTTTTCTGGGATAGCGAACCTACTCTCCATCCCCTGTACATTGGCGTGCGGGAATACCTAGAAATCAAGCCTCGCATTCAAGTCCTGAACGAGCGGTGTAGAGTCTTCCTCGACTTGGCTGAAATCTTGTCGGATTCTATTGCGGATAGTCAAATGTCGCGTAAGTTCTTTGCCCTGGCAAAACCTCGTACCACTTTCACCCCATTTTTCAACAGCAGGTTGTCTTTCAATATGCATATGCTTAGAATATATCATCTTACAGGCCAAACATGGATCATCATCGTGCTCATCGGCATTTCGATCATCGTCACCATTTCGGAGGTTATCTTGCGCTTCGGTATGTTGTCTACACGCTCATCCACGACAGCCCAGCCTTCTCAGATGGTACACCAAGCATATGGCTACGGGCCTGCAAGCCTGTGCTAGCATCGTCGCCACCCAACATCAAATCTCGTTTGGCAAATTCAGCTCATCTAGAACGAGACGGCTATCGGTGGCTCCGTTTTGTTCTTTCAGCCCTACTTCAAAAGTAACTTCAGCTATGTGGCCAATATCCACTATCATACCCGAATAGCTGGAAGAGGGCCCTTGGTGGCTGTTTACTCCATACCAGAAAGCCTACCTACATCTGACATAACATGAGGGCGCTGGCAAAAGATTGCCCTCTAACAAATCCCATTTTGGGATCAGCCTTGTCGGAATTACCCGACATGCTACTCATCAGGGCGCAACATCCTACCTACCGGTTTTGTAGCAGACTTCAGCTATGCACCCTGTCGTTCCACGTGCATATTTTCCTGTATCTGACTTCAAAGTTGTCGGGTTACGATGTATGAATACCACGCAATATAGGAAGATATTTTCAAAATGCGAGCTAGATTTTATGCTTCGTATGTGTTATCTACCTATTTTCCTAAAGTTGAGAACATGCCCAGTTTCTTAATTGCTTTTTGAGTCTCATGGTTACTGGAATATTTGTTGGGGGAATCCAGCGCATATGTGAAAGAGCAATTATTAAAATCACAATTTTGATACAAGAAGCTTTTTCTATTTTTAATCTGCTTAACCCACTCTTTTATTACCCCGCGTTCTATTTCTGGCGCGGGCATAGCAAGCTTTTAACCTTATTTTAGGCGGCATTTTCTGGGCTGGGTCCAGCTCCAACATGGATTATCGGCGCAGATACAGCAAATGGAGGCTACGAGAATCGCTCCAAACAAAAATTGCTCTAAGATCACACACTCCATCAGTGTTTACTATTATCACTGTTTTGCAAGGATGGTTGCTCCACCTGCTGCGAGCAATATAAAGATGGGCAGATCACCCCTCTTCTCCCCGTTTCGCGTTGCCCGAGACGTGTTTGATTGCCCATCCTTATAGCAACTACAGCCTCGAATATCTAGACAGAAAAATGGTCCCTGATGTCTTTCCATTGCCTGGCGTTGTCCACGGCAATCGCGTTGTAGCTACCATCATCGAGACCCGAGCGAAAGCCGGCGCCAACACGCAGCCCTGGGTCTCTGTCCCGATCGATGACAATGACATTTCTTCCGGGTACAGAGATGTCAGTTTCCAACAACTGAACAATGCGGCAAACCACGCAGCTCGATGGCTAAGTCAAGCTCTTCCAGCTACGTCGGAACCCTTTCAATATTTCGCCTACGCCGGCCCCAAGGATCTGCGGTATCCGTGCCTCGCAGTCGCAGCGGCAAAGCTTCAGAAAGTGGTATTTTGTTTTGAGAGAACATGTTTAGCAATCACTGGGAAAATATGTAGCAAAGATAACTAATTAAGAATACAGATGGTTCTTCCATCGCCGCTGCTCACACTGGGGGCTCAGCTGCGGGTTCAGGAAAAGACAAATTGTAAGCTATACCTCCGGCCGTCGGAAATGGCTGGGCCAGCCAGTAATATTCTGCGAAACGCGCCTCATGTTGAACAAATTACGGCCTCTGGAATTGAGGAGTTTTTCCGGGATGATGAAGCAGACCCTATGGTTTATAGTAAGACATGGGATGAAGGAAAAGAGGATCCTTGGCTGGTGTTCCATACCTCGGGAACGACAGGTATATTTTATTTTTCGATGGTAGTTTTGTTTTGGGATGATCATAGACTAACAACAATATGTTCTTTAAGGACATCCAAAGCCGGTGACATATTCGCAACAGATGATGGCCACCCCCGATACCGCGGCTTCTCTGCCAGATTTTAAACCAAGCCAAATTCATCAATCGGCTCAAGCACGATACTACACACCTTTGCCCGCTCTGCATGTAAGTTATGTCTTCTGACCAGCTTTCCTTTCCAATATTTGGGTACTTACAGACGCAGTTCATAGGCATGTTCGTAACTCTTGGCCTGACTACTGGCCACCATACAACATGTGTAGTTGGGCCTCCCATTCCCCCAAACCCCAAACTGCTGATCAATATTATCCGCTACAGAAAGGTAGCTGGTGTCCTTCTGAACCCTGTGCTTATTGATCATCGGCCGCAAGGATGACTATGTCTATCTAGTGCATGGGGATGGAATCCACGCTGCCCTCCTGGAAGAAGAAATCGTCGCGCATCCGAGCGTCAAGGCAGCGGTTATTGGCGGCTTTGGACGTCCGGTCCCTGTTCTTCTGGTGGAGTTAGTCCCCGCTGCGGAGGCGGATGATGTTGATGCGCTGAAAAGGAGCCTCGAACCCTATATTGAGAAAGCCAATGTGCATTGTCATGACGTTGTGAAGCTTTCCTCTGAGCGACTGATCGTTGCCAAGAAAGGGAAACCGTTTGTCACGACACTTAAGGGAAATGCATTGAGGTTGCAGACTTTGGAGCTGTATGAGGAGGAAATGCATTGAGGTTGCAGACTTTGGAGCTGTATGAGGAGGAAATACCAGCTCTGTTTGATTAGGGTCTCTGTCTTCTACCGGCTGATGTGTTTAGTTTAGCTGGGATAAATTACATATTTATAAGTATGATTATCCGCAAATTTGCAGCTATTTACAGAAGAAAGACAGCCTTGTGCTCCGTTTCAATTGGAATGGGGTGTGTTGGATACCTGGCAAAGTGTTTATAGATAGGAGGTTTCGAGTTCCTTGCCAAATAGTTCATGATTATTGAATTATACCGGTGAGTGAGTTAAATTCCACTGGTTGATTATTACAACGATGGTTTGCTATATACTTTGCATACCCTAAAGAATCGGTTAATGGACTAGAAAATACAAATTTCAGGAGAGGCAAAAAGCTTTAAGAAGTGAAGCATTTCATCTTTGAGTGTGTTAAGGCTTTGCGTGGATATCTTTTGTGCCTTGTCCTGTCCATGTACATGTACATACATACATGTACTGTACATACATAACTTTGACTTCGAAAGATCATCTTAATGTATTCTTTCTGATCAGCGCTCTACACTAGTTACAACATACCATACTAAAGAATGCCCACAGTTTAGTCAAACCTTCCAAACCCAAAGCCCCTACTATAATAATACCCTTGAAATATAGGTAGGCATCAGCGTCCTTCTCGCCGTAACTGAACACACAAGCTCGTGCCAACAATCTCCTTCAAAGGGCTGCAACCCTGGGCCCTCTGGCCCCTCCCTCGACTCCAACGGGAATTGGAAATCAACAATCTGGTGAAACGAGGACCTTATCCCCGATCCGTGCCTAGCCCTGTCGCACCTGTCGCACCAAGGTTGAATGGAAGTGTGCTATGGAAGCCATGGAAGTCGTGGAAGAATTATGGAAGGACAGTGGAAGGGCGGTGGAAGCAACCGTCGAAGCATCCTCACCAATCAAAAGTGCGGAGAGAAGTGGACTGGGTAAGTTAACTAGGCTGGAACCAGAGTTCTGCCACACCTTTTTTCTCACGAGGAGGCGGTTCAGGCTAAACTTAACGACAAGACTCGTCTAGCAACAACAGCAGCAACTACTCCGTACTAGTGATGGAAATGCGTGTGAACCAGTTAACTAATAACTGCTCAAGACTCGGGAGAGGGGCTATAAAGGACTATTGGGCCTTTGAATTAGCTAATTAGTAGTTCTCATTTGTTCGGAGTTAGGGCGCTTTGCCGGCGCTTTTCAGATTTTCGGGGAGAAGTGAGAAAAGGTGGTGGTGACACCCAACTGATGCAGAGAAAACATTTCGGCTTTTGAAGTCTTGGGAGGGAGAGTTTTTGGTATGTAGCTGGATGAAGCTATTTTCTCTCTCAAAGGCGATGTACTTGGCGACTTTAAGTTAGAAAATATATACCTACTTCGAAACTCGGTTGAAATTTGCCATAACTGCATTCATCAACTATCAACCCAATTGACTCGAGCATTGGCAAAACAACCTGGCGCGAAGGGGGGGGGGGGAAGAGAGAGAGCAAAGAAAACCACCGTCCTACGCATGTGACGGTCTGGGTGCTGACTCTGGCTGGATAGGTTGTTTGTACTGTAAATAAGGCCAGTATACTCTGTCACATCGTAGCAGCCCTATGAGGTGAAAGCGAAGGACCAAATCGAGACAGATAGCCAGAGACGGAGCGGGTCTCTGGCCAGGCCACATATAGCGAAGTCTGAGTGTGTCGACTTTTTTTTTTTTTCCAAAAAAAAAAAAAAAAAAAAAAAAAAAAAAAAAAAAAAAAAAAAGGCCCTTAGGTATCTTCAACCCCCGCTCTCGAAGCTCCCCCCGCGCTCTCCACGTACATAGTACATTACATCTTCGGCAATGTACTGAGTAAGAGAGCTATGAGTGCGGAGAAACCCGGTCTTCAGACGGGAGGAAAGTATTTATGTGCGGTGGCACCTACGTACATACGTATACGTCCCTTTCATCAAGCAAATGAGGGAATCAAAAAAGGAGAGGGGAAGAAGAAAAAGGAGCTATTGCTATCTCACGTAAGAAAGTTGCAGGGCTCCAAGGAATCAATCGCTGGTGCAGATCGATCCAATAGTGAATGAGTCGGTTTGGCGATTCTATCATACTGATTGATCACAACTTCCAACTCCGGCCCCCTTCCACCCTTCCACACTGTTGAGCTATATAAGAAAAGACAGAAAGAAAGGGGAATAATAAGCAAATAAGCAGCCCCGCTTTTGCCATCCATCCATCCATCCATCCATGATGCATGCAGCGGCAATGATGCCGAAGGGATCGGCTTCTGAACCAGGCTTTAAGTGATTTGCTCCTTGTCATCATTGCCCTTTTTTCTTCTCCAAGAAAACCAACTTCCGCTATCAATTGTCCGGTTGGCTCACGCTCACAGGCCTAACTAGCTACACCGTACACATAACCTCTAGTTAATTTACCGACGTGGCGCGGAGATAAAAACTGGAATACATGATAATGACAAGGGTTGGCGAACATCTGTCACACCTGCAAGGTCCACGGGCAACTGACTATACTATGGGATGGGAGATGGGAGAACAATGGGGGCGATGATCGCGGTGGGATCTGATCTGGCCCGGTGCAACTGAGGCGTGACTTCTAAACTGCCATACCCTACTCCGTACACGATACATGTGAGATGCTTGTGATGAGGTACATAGGTACTGTACGACATAAGGGAAGAATAATGATGTCTAGAGCGATTGTCTGTGCCGGTGAAAGGAACCAGCCAGTTACATTGTATGTATGTAATGTACATGTATGTACAGTACCCAGCTATACGATCCGATCAGTAGAATACATACATACATACAATACCTACCGAGGCAAGCTATTATTATGTCTTCATGTTCAAGTTTCTGCTGAACAGACTTGTTAAATAAAACCGTATCGCACATGGGGCCCGAAAAAGTCTAATTTATCCTTCTAGTACAGATTGACCATGTCCTTGTGTGGAATGATACGGGGTGAGCATTGGCTCCTGCGCGCGCGCGCGTGTGTGTGTGTGGTGATTGTTCCATGGCTGTTTTAATCTGCATTGCATTTCGGGGGAAGTTAGGGGCAGGGAGGGGCTGGTCTCAATTCCATAGGCACAGGCGGTGGAATGCGCCACGTCCAAGCAAAACAAGACTCATGGATAGCACTAGAATATTTGGGATGTCACGATGAGTGGGAGCGAGGTGAATTGATTCCTAATAATGATAATAATAGTCACATATGTCGAGCGTTGGGAAAACGGAGGGGGGGGGGGGGCGCCGTATTGGTATTTTTTCTTTTTTTTCTTCTTTCTCCGCACTTTCGAGGTTACACACGGACACGGACACGGACACGGACACGGACAAGAATGGCCTGAGTACGGAGTAATAAGAATACAAAGGGGAAGAAAAGAAAAGAGTAACTTACGCTGCAAAGCTTCACGGAAAAAAAAGGGGGGTCGGAGAAATCTGTGCGAAGGGACAGAAACAAATCAATTTTTGTATTATTGACAAGGGGGTCTCTCTCTCTCTCCTAACACCATGCAACCATGCAAGTCTAAAACAAGAATAAGAAAAATAATAAGGCTGTAACTTACAAGGAAGACAGGGAGGGAGTTACCAGCCTTTGGGGAGGGGGAGAGATGAACCAATAGGCTGGCAGTAGTTAGTAGAGAAAGCCAACACCAACCCGCTAGTTAAATCAACGCAACATAAAGCTAGGCGCTAGAAGAATGTTAGAATGTTCTGCAAGTCCCCGTCCCCAGATCTTTCTAGAGCCTTTCTAGAAGCCGAGATTTGACGGGGTCGTGTTGTGGTGTAGTTTTGTGTTAGTCAGTGGCTTCTTTTTACTTTGGCTGAGGATCCACTGCATCTCTTTTTTCTTTTTCTTTTTCTTTTTCTCTTTCTCTGTTGCACAATTGTGGCATCGTTACTTGTAGAGAATGTCTATGCATCCAAGGGACCCCGTCATCGGCTTTCTTACGGGTCTACTCACATGGGCAGGCATGCGTCGGTCAGTGCTCCGTTCTAGTTATGCAAAGAAATGCTTTCAAAATGGGCGGCGGCTTGGAAGAGGAGCGCGAAATTCTATTCTTCTTCTTCTTCTTCTTCTTCTGTCTTTTTTTGTACCCTACCTCCTGAAGTGGTACGGACGGGGCCAGCATAGCATCCATTATTAGCATGTCCACCATGTCTCACAGAATTTTAAAAAAACTGAAGTCACCCAAAAACCCAACAAGCATGATGTCGTGTAGAAGAAGAACTGTAACCTCAACCGCCGCCCCAATAAAAGCATGTTGAGAGACCTTTATTATTGTCCTTTTTTCTTCTTCATGCTTCATGCCCCCCTTGAAATTCGCACAACCCTCTTGTCGCTTCAATGCTTCAATGGCGAGAGAGGAGTGAGAGTGAAGTCCTGATATTCCCCCGTCCCCAAGAGTACAACACGCCGGTATTATTTCAATCTGCTGATGATGTCTTACATACACATGGATCGTCACTCGTAAAACTAATTTAGTATTGTTCTCGGAATAACTCCAGGAATATCGACTAACGCAATAGAGGAATAGGGATAGGAGGGGGAATTGGGAATTGGGAATTGAAAGCGTCCTTTGTTGTGACGCTTCCCTGTCGAATAATGATCCATTTATTCATATCCATCGCGAGTCCCCTTTTTCGCAACTTCGTGGGTTTTGTTTTCCAACTACGGAGTATTCTGCATAGGATTTGATTTGTTATGTGCCCTTGTCTTTTTTCACGGGAAAGGGCCGCTTTGATCAACACCGAGCACTGGCTCCACTCGCAACTGAAAATGCCCTGTCGGTTGGCGACGTACACATACACCCTTGCAACTTGCCTGCAGGGGGGGGGCAGGGGGGAAAACTTATTAGAAGTTAGAAGGAAGGAAACAGGAGGGCAGGGCCCATTAGTGATCCTCATTTCGAGGCGGTGCGCCACGATAAACTTTTGAGACAACTGGCCCTAACTAACTAGTGGTTGGATGGTGCGGGTTTCCTTTTTCCTTTTTCCTTCGAGAAGATTGCCTAGTGCAATTAGCGAGGTAGGTAACTAGCTTTAAAAAAAAGAAAAAAAAAAGGAAAAGAAAGACCCCCTTGAGTAGAAGTACAGAGTACAAGATGCGAACAGAAAGGGTGTGTCATGCAGGTCAAGAATAACCCGTCGTGGCTTTCTAGGGAGGGGTTGTTTTGGGCTGCACTGTCCGGCGTCAGTCAGTCCCTCAGGTGGCTGGGGCAGAGCATTGGATCATGGAATAATAATAACTAATGTTGGCCCCTCGTTTGATGTCTCGTCTAGGGATCCGCTCTCCTGCATTTCGAATACGCATGAGGGTAGTTAACTAGTGGTTAGGCCACGAGAAAGCGTATGACCCGACTGCTGCTGTTACACGGCTCGGAGTGTGTATACACACTAAGGATAGGGGTGGTTTGGGGGTTGCATAGGCAATTCCACCTCGTGAAAAGGAGAGTAAAAACGATAGGGGATTGCTCTGCGCGCAGGTGGATGTTGAAGGCAAAGAAAGATATGGATGACCGCAGAGGAGTTGCTGTGTATCCTGGTAATTAATGGCTGGCGATTGGCGTATTGAGTACCAGCGCAGTAGTAGTACTATGCGTAGTCAGTTATATGACCTAATATTACTATCATTCTGGCACTCAAGCGAGCCGCAAGCGGGTCGTTAGTAGAAGTTAACAGAAGAAGAAGAATGATAATAATAATAATTAACTTGGACATGGCTGAAGGGGACGGACGCCCTCTGTCTGACCCACAGGCCACACCGACCGCGACAGGGCGATTTTCATCTGGATTTACAGCGTACGTAACTTTCAGATTATTATTAGTTACACGACGAGATCTCTGCCTGGGGCGCAGGGCGGGCCCTCCTCTCCAAACATTCATTCTTCCAGAATCTTTCTGGTGCTTCTTTTCCGTCCGGGGCTTGTGTTTTGGCGCGCGGCGGTTGCTAACTCGTTGCCAGCTAGCTGGGTGGGTTTTGGCGGGCTTCAAGTTAAAGTATTTAGTTAAAAGGGAGCTTAAGGCTGCTTGCTGCTGGGTTAGTCAACTCTCGCCGCTTGCTGCTTCTGCTGCTTCTGCTGCTTCTGCTGCTTCTGCTGCTTTTGCTGCTTTTGCTGCTTCTGCTTCTGCTGCTGGTTGCTGGTGCCGTTTCATAACATAACAAGACATACATAACAAGACATAACATAACAAGACAAGACCGAACAACCTTGGGAAGAGAGAAATTATATCTGCGATTCCCCCCCAACCAACCCTTTGACACACGCCCTCAACAACCACCGCCACGCCCTAGTTAGTACCCAACTTTGACTCGACTTACTTACTCCCATCTCATCTCCATTCCCAGCTCTGTCTCTTTGGCTTGCGATATATTCCCTGCCCTGTCACTCCTTGTCCTTCCTGCTCGCTCAACTCTATCTATCCCACCTCTCACCGTTCCCGGACAGCTACTGCAGCAACCTTGCCGCCTTGTTCCTGGTGAGTCCGTCCCCTCAATCCATAAGCTAGTCGTCAAAGCCCTTGTTGTCATTGCGGGACCTGAATGGGTCATCTCTACCTGTTGCTCGTCTGTGTCTGAAATTTTTTTCTCTTTTTTCTCTCTTTTCTCTCTTTTTTTTATTTTTGCATCGACTTTGTTGGAGTGGGGAGTGGTTGGTTGGAATCTTCGACTGCTGCCCCATTTGCAACTCAGATATCGGTGCCTGACGGTGTGGCTATGCAATGGCCCTATGCTTAATTGTCTGATCGATATTCATACTCCCTTTGCTAACCTCATCATCGCAAATAGTTTGACATAGAACGTCCAAGTGATCCAATTTCGCTGTTTTCCTTTCTGGGCTTTTTGTATCCTCCTCCCTCCCTCGAACAACGACGACCGCTGCTATTCTTTCTACCTTCCATCCGCGACATACCACATCAATCACTACAAGGGGCAACCGAGTTGTAACAAGACGAGAGATATTGGGGGAAGAATTTTTGCCATCAGAGTGCCCAGTCGCTCCAGTGAACGAGTTTCTCTGTCTTCCCTGTCTGTCATACCTTCGGATCCTTCCCCTCCCCGCAATTCCATCCACGGAGTTTTTTTTAGAGACACAAAACGGTCTTTGAAAACGCCCGGATAGTCTGCTTAGCAATCGGTCTTTGCTGTGGCTGCATCGCGTGCCTCTTACCTCGGCTTTTATCTACCTGGAGAAATCTCAAGCTCAAGTGCTATCTGCGGATACCCGTCTTCCCCAAGCGTGTGTGACTTTGCGTTGAGCTACTGGCTTGATTGCGACCCTTGCGCTCGCTTCCGTATCTCTGCCGTAGGGTTGTGACAGTCAGGACAGAGAGATTCTCCTGTTCATTTTTGTGTGTTTCCATACGCGGGAGACTCTGCTTGCCCGCTGGCTACCTTTACCTCTCCAGAACACATTATTCCCCTCATTACCCACGCCCAGTATCGAACCGGATACTACACGAACGCCACGGCATATATTTATATGAATCCAAGTGTCTTCCGTGCGCTGAAATCGGTCCTCTCCCCCGACGTAAATCCTCATTGACTAACTTGCGATTGATCCATCCATTCGCGTTTTGCCGACCCCGCCTTGGTTTACTGGACATTGGCGCTGACCTCTCGCTGATCGATCGTTGTACGCTTCTAGGATTTAATAGTTCTGATAGAAGGTGTGTGTTTTAGTGTTTGCATATTAGTTTCCTCTTGCTACCCTATATTCTTTTTATATACCCGTTCGTGTCAGGCTAGAAGAATTCACTTTCGAAATTCGTCTACTCTTGGGTTGACCCCACCACCGCCTTTTCCGCGCATTTCCCATCGAACTGACTTTTTGCTCTCCATCCTACTACGTTTACTAACATAATATCTCCATGTATAGGAAGTCATTCTTTGAGGGAATTGATTCTTTATTCAAAGATACTTGTCCCAACTATAGTTGAGGAAGCTTTGCGAGACCCTTGTCGACAGACAGCCTCTGCTTCTCAACCCGCTTTATTCTATTTTACTTTCAGTTAAATGATCACAGGCACCGACTATGGATATCACAAACATTCTAAACGAGAAAGGAACCGCCGCCGCTGCCGTCGCCAAAGCCCAGTTACATCAACACTTGACCCAGGGAACACACATAAAATCCCAAACGCCGTCCGAAATGGGCTCTGAAAACGGAACGTCCCAGAATGGAGACCAGTCGAATATCTATCCCCCTACCTCGCAACCCCACTCCCACCTAGCAGGTATCCCTCAATATCATCCTCCATCGCAGGGTGCCGGTGGCGTTCCGGCTGCTCGTTCTGATTTTGTTCAAGCCGATCAGGGAGATGTCAAGTATCTTCCGAATGCCAATACCGGACGCGGAAGAGCAAGCGGAGAACCTGCGCCCAAAACATTTCATTGTTCGACATGTGGGAAAGGATTTGCGCGGCGGAGTGATCTCGCCAGACATGGTAAGATCAGTAATATAACCTCCTGGACCACAAATGATTTGACATCTGACTTATTCATTAGAGCGGATCCATAGCGGAATCAGACCTCACGTATGCGACTGGCCGGGCTGTGGGAAGCAATTCATCCAGCGTTCTGCATTGACCGTCCATACTCGAGTCCATACAGGCGAGAAACCACACATGTGCGACAGGTGTGGCAAGGTAAGAATAAATTGCTTTTTTCAGAAATATTATGCTAATGAGCCGCGCTAAGGGATTTTTATACTACAGCCTTTTAGCGATTCAAGCTCCCTTGCAAGACATCGCAGAATACATTCGGGAAAAAGGCCTTACAAATGCCCATACGCGAACTGCCAGAAAACTTTCACGAGGCGGACTACTTTGACGCGGCACCAAAATCATCATACCGGTACGATTGAGGAAGCTGCCGCTGAAACTGAAGCCAACCTGCGGCAGAACAAAGAACGAGTTATTCGTCCGCCCGATGGAATTTACTCAGAGACTGGGTCAACCCACTCAACACCATCTCCCGGTCAGCGCCATTCTCTATCTCCCGGGAATGAATTACCGCCAATGAATCTACATCGCCAGATGGGCGATTACTATATGGGGAATAATACTTCGATTCCTCCACACCTACGAGGCGACTTCCAGCAACCCAGCCCCCGAGCATCTCCATCTACCTCATCACCTCCGGTTTCTACCTACAATAACGTTCCCCATGCTCGACCTTCGCTTACCTCCCACCCAAGCGGCTACGGACCACCGCAGCCTCTTGAACCTCCAGCCAACAGCGATCCTCGCCCCAATAGTGGATCTGGAAGTCCGCATATTTCGAGCATGGGATGGGCGTCTCCAACGCTTAACAGCGTCGGCTCGCCAGCCTCAGCCTCAGCAACGGAATATTCATACCCGGAACCGTCCGGCCCCCCTTACTCAGCGCACATGCCGCCCCACATGTATTTTCCCAATTCAACAATACGACGACCGCAAAGCACAGAACCAGAGAACTACGAAATGAAACCTAAATTGAACGGGGATTCATGGACTACCCCTGTTTGACCGTGGCTGTCGACAAGTGCATTAATTGTTCTTCCTTTCGCAACAACTGTTTTATTCCCATATGGTTAATTATTTCACTTCCTAATTTTCCCCTCAATTTATAGATACCCCACCGTGATCTCACGAACATGAAAACGGGTCAATTTCGCGCTGTATGAATACACTTTATCCCACCAGACATACTTTTTTAATCGCTATTACGTCTTTTTTTTTCGTCCCTTGTTCCCATTTTCCTCTCAATACTTTGCTATGTTGCTATCTGCTATCTGCCAGGTCTTCATTTTACCTAATATCTTTGCCTCTTTCATGCGTCAATACCTCATTAATTGTTTTTGTTTTTGTTATATCTCCCACCTCTTATAGAATATTTACTGTGTTCTGCAGGCAGTGTACGGGCAGTGGATGGAACGGGAACAGGGGCATCGTCAACGCTGTAGCACAGCAATCGGAGTATGGAAGGGACTCTCGGGTTTCCAGTTGTACTTGGGGGTTGCTTTGGGATTTGATATAGGGGTGTTTATGACTCTTGAGTTGACACCCGGTTGCATGGAATTGAGTTGGGATCACCACAAAAAAGCTAAAAAAATACATATCGCTATGCCCGTTTGATTTTTTTGATTTACATAGTTTTCTTTATATCACAACAATAGATATCAGTTTGTTTGCTTATTTGTTGATGTGTATGTTAGCTAGGGTACTTTCTACTAAAAGGTGATTTTTGTAAATCGGCCCTTATTACCTCGAGCATGTTTAAATACCGCCGCTTTTCTGAATCCTGCATGAAAAATGTCGATTCGCTTTCCAACCCACGCACTGTCATCTGGGGAGATGGCAGTGGGCCACAATATGTCTTCCATAATTTGCTGCGATCTGTACGTAATGAACATATCTTGTGTGGTCCAACCAGCTAAGAGAGTCTTCCAAAATTCATATAATAATACATTGCTTAATATAATACATAAAAAGTTTAATACATATCAGAAAATGATGGCGAAAGTCCTCTTTTAAAACCCCCTCTGCACCGCCCAGAAATAATTCCCCAACTTCTCCGTCCCAGGAATCTTCTTCCACCCCAACCCCGGAAAATACATCGCACCCACACACTTCCACCTCACCCCACCACCATCACCACCAACCCCATCAATCTCCCTCAACCCCTCCCCAACCCAACCCCTCAGCTCCCCATCATTCACAAACTTCCCCCACTCATGCGTACCCCTCGGCACCACGCCGATCGGCCACGGCGCCTCCGCGATGACCTGATTGATGATGTAGGAGGGGATGGTGCGCGCGATCGTCGAGCCGACCAGCCAGCCGCCCGGCTGCAGGAGTTGGAGGCATTTTTTCAGGAAGGAGCGCGGGGAGGAGGTTTGCGGGTTGACGTGCTCGAGCACTTCGAAGAGGGTTATTATGTTGAATTTTTGGGGTGGGGGGGATTGGGCGGGAGAGGGGGAGGGTGAGGGCGAGGGCGATGGCGAGGGGTTATGGAGGAGCGCTTCCAGGCTTGTATTCTCGTATCTGAACCGGCCTGATTGGAGATGGGAGTAGACGAGGGGATCGGCGCGGGCGTGTGCGGTTGCGATCTTTATCATTACTGGGGATGGGTCGATGGCTAGGATTGAGGAGGCGTGGGTTACGGGGGATAGGGATGGAGCTGTGGTGCTTGGATTCGTGCTGCCTTGGCTTGCGCTGGATGCCGGTGGGATTGTGCGGGCGAGCGATTCGGCGAAAATGCCGCCGCCGCAGCCTATGTCTAGGTATCGGAGGCCAAGGGGGCCTGTTGTGTTTGTGTTTATGTTTATGTTATCTTCTTTGTTATTGTGAGGGTTGGATGAGGAGGATGAGGAGGGCGAGGGAGAAGAGCGTGGATTGGATTCGGCAATGCAGGACGCTATGAATTCATGGCGTAGCGGGTTCATGAGGTGGAGGATGCGCGACGGGCCTAGAGGGTCCCACCAGCTGCTGGCGAGAGACGAGAAATGAGTGATTTCATCTGAAGATATGGAGGAGGCGGTTGAGGAGTGGTGTCGGACTCTGTCGACCTGTTTGGTGGTGGTGGTGCGCCTCAGACCATGGCGGAGGAGGGTAATGTTCCGCGCAGCAGCTGCAGAGGACCAGAGGCGGTTGAGCACCATTTCTCTGTGGCCGTACAGAATGGTCTTTTGCGCCGGATAGGATGGGATGAGGAGAGTCCTGGGGAAGTTAATTAGCTTGCGATATCCATAGGTTATTTATATTCAGGATGAAGCACGGGAGTATGGTTGAAGCCGCAATTGTGATTCTACGACTACTGGTCCGCAAGTTGGAGACCCAGGAAGAGCGATATCACATACCTCTACGGAGTAGAAGCGCAGTGTTCCCACTCAGAGTATAAGTAAGAACAAGGCCTATTAGTTCACGGCGGTCAATTGCTGCTCTCCGCAGTCTAGTCTCCGGTCTTGAATCTTGCAATATTTGACAAAAAGACGTCGGTGTTGGGATGCAAACATGACAAACTTCATCTAGCACCTCGGCATTTCTCACACCATCCATCTATCTGCAACCAAACCATCTCCAAGCAAAGCTCAACCAACATTGAATATTTGCTGCTTCAATTGCAAATACATGGCAGTGATGTGTGGGTAGTTATGAGTAAGTTTCACTTGTTGTTTTCCCGAGAAAACTACTAATATTGGAGATAGTTACCATGCTGTATGCAACCCTAGGGAATTATTGGAGAGATTTCCTCTCCTCCAATGGGTCTATGCTCTCCTATTTTGTTATTATATTCGAGGATTCTCCTACAAATCTTCAAGACTTCTTCGAGTTATTCCCTTATAAACATTGGGATGCTTTCATTTATGTACATACAAGAACTTGCTAAGTTATGTTTATCCGGTCTTAAGAAGAAGAAATCTCGCCTGCGCAAGCCCACCGCTAGTACATGTACTTTCTCACCCGGCAAAACGCAGATCCAACGACGGAGGAATCTGATTCCGATGTCGCTGTCAGCTTGACTTCGGCATTGTACGTAGCCCACTTGTCCGCAGCGACGGCAACATCCACTGTCGTCCATTGTCCAAACTTAGCTGTGGTCAGCGCGTTGGGCAGCTCGACCTTCCAGCCTTTGCCTTTAACAGTGGCTTTAAGCCGGTATACATCCGATTTCAGGTACTCAGATATGTCCTGTGGATGCTGCTTGTTCCCACCGCTGGCAGGTGAGTAGGAGCCAGTGTTGCGGAGCTTGAACGAGCAGGTTACTCCCTTGTGTGTTGGCTTGTTGCCGCGGCTCGGTTTGACTCGGCCCCTGTTGATTTTGATGCCGCGCTTATGGGAGTCTTTCTTATCGAGTGGCCGGACAGCAACCGTGTACGAAAGAATGCCCTTCCTGTCGCGGTGAATGTCGATTATATAGAAATGCAGCCCATTGGCTTTGTCGACATACTCGTACTCACTGCCGGAACGGGTACCAGCGTGAAACAGCGCGTCCGCCAGCTGACGGAAGTCGCCGAGACTGATCATTCCTGGTGTGCCATCTGGTCTATAGAAGTCAACAACCCCCAGATCCTGAGGGTTCGCGTCAATGGTCCACTGGTAAGTGCCTCGAGACTTAGACTTGGTCTTGCTAATCATGACCCCTGAATCCGGAGTGAAGGAGTCAGGACCCATGCGGTCGATGACCTCAACGTCATAACCATTATAGCCACCTCCGTCACAGAATGGGTCAGTATCCGGATCACAAGCTGGTGACTTGTCGCTATCCATTGCAATGCGAATACCCATTAGATCGACCTTGCTTGGAACGACCGATCGGGCTGTTAAACGGGCCACAACAGTGCCCGATTTGGGTAATCCCTCGCGCGATAGCCGAACGAGGTTTTCGTTGTCGACGAGCTTGAGCTCAACCTTATCGCGGAGGGTGTGGAGTGAACCCATGGAGCCTCCCTGCGTGGGAGGGATCTTCCAGCGAGAGTGGGGCCCTCCGGGGCCATTGAAACTGCCGCGAGACAACATAGACCAAGGGCCAGTATAAGACCGTCGAGGTGGTTTCCCATATGGATTGTTGTAATTATCGCCAATATCAAGCAAGTGACTAAGCTCGTGGGCAAACACGGCCATACCAGAACTCTCGCTCTGGGTCGATGATTTTCCATCGGCATTAGGCCAGATGGTAGACGCCGCGGCCCACGACGTCCAGTCTACATAGCGAGTTTTTGCGAAGTTTGGATCTTCCGCCGTTGGAGGGCCAAATTCATCGGTGACGTCTTCCGGGGTGTGAAAGCGCATTTCGCCAAATTCTTGCCATGTGGCTGACTCATCCTGGCCCGCGGAAAGGATGAAGATGAGTTCGAAGGAGTCTGCTGTCTCATTACCAACATCCGCGCGCCAGGCCCCAAGAGCGTCAGTGCGGAGATCGATTTCGCACGTCTCGCCCGTCGGGCATGCTCCGTCGTTCATCCGCTTGTCGATACCGTACTGGAATGATTTTAATGGCAGCTCATAAGGGCCAAATCCAGTGAGGTCAACGCCATAACGACCCATAGAGTCGGTCATCCAGTACTCATGGAGCGTGTGTCCGTGGTTGACCTCACTGGGTTTGTTAAGGAAATCGCGGTAAAAAGCCGGCACCTTCTCGCGCGTAAGCCCTGTAGGCGCATTTGGCTGCGGGTTGCCGAAAATAGTTGACCCGGGCTTCTGGAGAATGGCAAATGGCATGTTCGGGTAGTCGACAGTAACCAGGGCGATGTTGAAATTGCGCAATGAGCCCCTTTTGGTCGGGTCCGCCCAGTTGGTACCAGGGGGAGACTTCCAGTCGTCCCAGGTCATATTATCAGGGTTGACCCAGTTCTGGGGATCTAGTACCGCAAAGGGGTCATTGGGCTTGTGATTGCCGCCACTCGCACTGATTTCATCTTCATTTGGCACGGCTCTTGCGGGCTGGCTGAGTAGGGACAGCGACAGCGCGCTGGTGAGCAGCGGCCCTAGGACTGCCCAAGGGGAACGAGACGCGTCGGGAAGTTTCATCCTTTCTTTGACGCTAGAGGATATAGAAAGCCCAAGGGCCAAAAATATAGGACGAATTGAGTGCTCACCTCGATTGAACGGTGAACGCACCCGGGTTAGAAATTTAACTGCTAGGAATCCTACGAGAGCGTGATAGTTACAGTGGGCGCACCCGCATTGTTATTATTTATAATTCGTTTCCACACGAATCCTGCCCCGCATAAAACCAAATCAATACCACACATACATGCACATACATACATGTTCATGGCCTGCATTCCGTGTCGCCAGCCCGTCCAAATACGGATCCTTCCACGACCTATCAATTGGTTCAGGGGTTCCGCAAATTATGAAGCAAACCAATTCTAGGAACCGCACGATGCAACCATAAACACGACGCTCGTTCAGAATGGGGTTTATCGGCCCTGCTGCAAACGTCGATATCCCGGCCGTGTTTTCTTTTGGGCGATCGTTTTGACGAAATGCATGAGGCTAGCCCAATCTTGGAAGCTCGGAGCCGCCCACATTGCTGGCTCCCGCGCCAAGATGGACCGAGACTGAGCTTGAGCTTGATCCCCTGCATTCTGCGGGGAAGATCACCGACTGTATCCGGTTCGGTTGATAACTTCGCCCGTTTGCCAGAATAGCAAATGTTGAGGAGCGAACATCTCCATCGTTCGTTTTTCAATCCCCGTCCACACTATGTATTTCCCGGAAGTTCTTTCCTTCTTCCAACCAATTCAGGGCGAAAGAGAACACCACACACTGCCTCAGAAATTCTACGGGTGCCGGCTTCAGTCTGTAGACAGTCTGCACGAGGGTTCCAAAATCTTCCGGGACGCCTGATATGGGAGTGGATATTCCTGGTTGTGCCCGCTATCCGATCCCATCCCACGTACCCCTCTTGAGTCTTGAAATGCAGGCTGTATCAGTGGAGCGAAAGTTGTTCTGTTTCCTCTGGCCGTGGGCCTTTGGCTTGGCGCTTGAACGTGGAGGAGTTGTCCAGACGAAGATGAGAGTTTGCGTTGCCCAACTCGCACGACGAAGTGCTGGCGATAATTAAATTCTAACTCAATGATCTTATATGAATATATGAATTATTTATCGTATATATAACTAGATTCATCTCTAACTAAACCCCCCTCTCAAAAAAAAAAAAAAAAAAAAAAAAAAAACAGGGAGAGCAAATTTATCTAGAAACGAGTATTCTTTGTCAACAATCACCATCAAAAATTGAACAGCCATTTTGTCATGCATCCAACCACCCATTGACAACCCCAATTCGCTTCCACTCACGCTTCTGTAAAAACAACTCTTGATGGCAAATTCGCGCTGTTTCGAGCATCAAACTTTGAAAAAAAAAAGACACACATTTTGCGACAACTTTAGGTATCTTAACGAAGAAATCGCATATCAGAGGAAATACGGAAAATTTGGGCAAAAGAAAAACAAAAAAGAGAAAAGAAATTGTAAAAATCAGTGTTTAAAAGGCATGACAAGTATCATCATATCCCTTTTCTGCAGCTTCAGACCTCCTCCTTCACTCGTCGGGGAGCAGGAACATGTGCATGGGCGCTCCGCACACGACCATTATTGCCATCTCTCCCAGTAACACTGGACCTCTCACTCTCCGGACTAAAGCTCTTCTCGCTTCCCTTCGTCAGCGTGCGAGCAAAGGAGAAGAATCCCTGTCTGAGGCCCAACTCGTGGCTTGGCCAGCGTCGCCGCAGACCCAGTCCAGCCCCAGTGCCATAGTCCTCTCCTTCCGCGAACCAGCCGGTCCTTCGTTTTACCAGCTTCCAAGCCTCCACGCCAAGCACGAATATAAATATGGATCCAAATGCCAATGCCCATTCCCAGGTTATACCACGGTGCTTGAAAACTTGCGTGTTTAGGCCGGGGATATAGACGGCGGGAAAGACTGAGACGAACCCGATAACCACAGCCCAGAAGAGGAATTTGTTCTCATATACGTCGTGGAAGAGTGGGATTGAGGGGAAACGGTCCTCGCTACGATCACGCAGCGGATCTAGATTGAACATGCTGTTGCGAAGGTGTTTAAATTCCCATGCGGAGATGAGGATGAGCCATGTGAGTTCAGCGAAGACGGCGGCACGGGCACGGAACACGACATCGCAGCCATCATTGGACGAACCGTTACAATCGAGTCCCAGATCGTCTTGTCCATTCCCGACACCATATACCACAATGACGAACGTGAGAAGCGTACAGGCTCCCATGATGACACCGTAGACCATCATGTCCGCGATTATTTGCCAAGTGAAGACACCTTTTTTGGTATCGTGTGGTGGACGATGCATCACGGAGGTAGAGGCCTTTTCGCGACCAAGGCCAAACGCAGGGAATGAAGATGTCAACATGTTAATCCAGAGAATCTGCAGCGGTGAGAGCGGGAAAACGGAGATCCCTGACTTGTCCTGGAAACCAAGTCCGACAATAAGGAGTACAACTTCACCCACGTTGGAAGTGAGAAGATGGAGAATGAATTTCTGAATATTTTCAAACATGCGTCTACCTTCCTCAATTGCATTGACAATGCTTGCGAAATTATCATCCGTGAGCACAATATCAGAGGCAGACTTAGCCACATCTGAACCAGCCATGCCCATAGCGATACCAACATCTGCAGCTTGGAGTGATGGAGCGTCATTTACACCGTCTCCAGTCATGGCACAGTATCTGTGGCGACGATGGAGAGCAGCGATCATTCGAGTTTTTGTATCAGGGGCGCACCGTGCAATTACCAAAGGGAGAGAAGGCAAGGCATCGATTTCCTCATCAGTCAAGCCGTCAAACTCTGCAGCTGTTTTCACCAAAGAGTTCGCCTCCTCGGCTGATAACGCTCCCGGGTTGCGTGGAAGGATACCAACTTCCTTTGCAATGGCTGTAGCGGTTGATGGATGATCACCAGTAAGCATGTGAACACGAATTCCAGCCATAGTACATTCTGGGAACGAAGTTAGTGACTGCCTCAATGTTAAGTGAGATAAACAAGTAAATTTGAAACATACCTTTAACGGCATCCTTAGTTTCCAACCGAGGGGGATCATACAAACCAGCCAGACCGAGAAGTGTCAAATCTTTCTCGAATTCCTCTCGGGGGATTTGCGAATGAGGGTCAACTTCAACAGGGCCAGGTTTCCGCGCGATTCCAAGCACACGTAGACCCTGTCCAGCAAGGAAGTCCATTTGCTCAAGGATATCTTCCTTAAGTTTTGGAGTCATGGGCTCTTGACTGTCTCCCATCCCAACGGTGGTGCAAAGGTCAAGGATCCGTTCGACAGCACCTTTCGTGAAAACAATGGTTCCAGGTTCACCGGCGTGGCGGTAGATAACTGTCATACGCTTCACACTACTGTCAAAGGGGTACTCAGCTAGTTGCTTCCAGCCTTGTTCGGTTTCAAGAGTCTTTTTTCCAAGACCAAATCGGTGAGAGAACACTTGGAGCGCAACCTCAGTAGGGTCGCCCATGGTCTGCCAGCTATCGGACTCTGGATCATGGCGAACAGTTGCTAAATTACACAGCGCGGCACATTGGACAAATGCCTCGAGTTCTGGGACCATCTCAGGAAGCGCATTCTGCTCAGCATCGTCCTCCTTTTCTGACGGGCCTTCGTTGCGTTCCTCGTTGCGACGTTGGTCACGTTCCTCTTTCTCAGCGGGGATATCGAATTTTAAGCCAGCTGTAGAACGCAGTGCGTCCTGCTCAGCACGTTTGCGCTCCCGCTCCAGTTCTGCCTCCTGTTTCGAAGCTGGATATTTCCCTAAAGTGATAATCCCTCGAGTGGGATTGGTGGCATCATCGGACTTTTGGAGGCTATAAATACCAACACCAGGAATCCAGGCCTTGCGGGTTACCATTTGGCCTTGGGTAAGTGTTCCCGTTTTGTCAGAGCAGATATTAGTGACACCGCCCAGAGCCTCAAGAGCACTTAGTTGCCGGACAACCACTTTCCGCTTTCTCATCTGGGTCATGCCAACAACCATAGTGATGGTTAGGACAGCAATAAGGGACTCAGGAATGATAGCAATACCTAAGGAAAAGGTAAGATAAAAATGTTAGTAAAGAATAAATCATTCTGCAGTTAAAATGTGAGATCTGGATTTCAGCACATACCTGTAGAAATGGCGTAGATGGCCACCTCGCTTGTAACGTTGAAGCGATTAACACCGAAGACAATAATAGCAAGCAAGAGAGCGCATCCGAATAGTACGTAGGCCAATTTGCTAAGCTTGATCTGCAATGGTGTCCCCTCTGTGAGGCCAAGGAATTTACCGATGCTGTCCCAGACGCGAAGAGCGCCACCCTTGAGTGGTTGCATGTTTCCATGCTTCTTTCGGGACATAGAACGACCAGCTTTGCGCTTTTTACCTTGCATAGATTGTGCAATTTTACCGATCTCGGTGTACATGCCGGTGAAGACGATGATGCCGCGACCACGGCCTTTGGTGACAGTTGCAGACGAGTAAGCCATGTTCAGGCGGTCTCCGACGCCAGTCTCCAGCTCAGTTCCAGTAGGGCTGAAATCGGTTTCCTTGGCCACCGGAACAGCCTCACCTGTTAGGATCTTCTCATCGCACTCGAGATTCATGGCTTCGAAGAGTCGAAGGTCAGCAGGAATGGTGTCTCCCATTTTGACCTGAACAATATCGCCTGGTACAACTTCGCCGGATGGGATGGTTATCTCATGGCCATTTCTAATTACGGTGGCGGATGGCGAGGAGAGGGAGCGGAGAGACTCCATCTTCTTTTCCGCCTTGAATTCTTGGTAGAAACCGACAGCGACATTTATCACGATAACAGCGGTGATCACAGCTCCTTCAACGTAGTCGGAAACACCGAATGAGAGGGCCATGGCTAAAACAAGGACCTGGTCCGAAAAATACAAATTACTATATAGTTCCCAAAACATGGTTGTGCACAATAAAGCTCCGGAAAATCCAACGCGATAAGACAAGGCAATAGCAGCTGTGAAGGGTCTCGGGGTATCAGAAAGGGTTGAGGATCATGTAGGCAACACAGAAATAAAGGTCATCTACGACCAGTTGTTTGGCGAACTACGTTCTTTTCGACCCTCCACATCGTTCATCTAAGAGCACATGGCAAAAAACACCACACAACTACTAGATGGCAGAGTAGAGAGACATAAACGAGTGAAACGCGGCTGCAATCATGAATGAACAACGGCATTGAGATTGTGGACGGGCCCCGAAAGCCTTGGTGGAATAGTGGTGGGAATCTGATGCAACAAGAATCAAGAGAATTTAGAAATGAGAAGATACGTACCAGGATCATGGCATTTGAAATTTGTTTCCCCAGCAGAGTATACCACCTCGCTGCCCCCTCCCCGTGCAAGCGGTTGGGCCCATACTCATCTTGGAGTTTCGCGACGTTGACATCGGATAGGCCAGTTTCCGTGTTCGTATTAAGGACCTGGGTAATCTCGTCGATAGAAAGCAGAAAAGGATGTTTCTCATACTCTTGTTTAGCATACTCCTTGGGGCGTCCCATTGCGCGGAGACCTTCCTATGATATTTGTAACTTGTGTTTATTTCCTTTGAACGGGTAGGCACTAGATCGTTTGGTGATCGTGTCTGCTACAAACAGATCAAGGGTTTCGGAAAAGAGTTGTTAAAGACGAATGAGCAGATTGGTAACCGGGATATTAGCCGTAATCAAGCGAAGTGGAAACGTAGAATGGCCTAAAAAGAGGCGTGGTGAGATTCGGAGCTTGAATAACCAAAAGATGTTGTTGGGTCAGTAGACCCATTCGGTATATAGATCTAGAAGCACGGACGAAAGGCACAATGATTAGTACGATCTGATGGCTGTTAAAAGTCGGGAAACCGGAATGACCCACCAGACGGAAGTCTAACAAGACAAGAGGATGATATAGCTAGAGAATATCAACGACTATGGGTGAGCCAGTCTCATTATTATCCTGGATATCATATATAGAGCTGCAGCGTGATGACAATATATATCAATCTTTACCCTGCCTTTCCAAGAAGGCAAGAAGGGAAGAACGAAGGACTGATGACGAATGGATAGTAGCTTCCTCTTTGACGTCAAATCTAATGTGGAGAAAAGTGAAAGATTTGATATTAGTTATTGTTACTATAGAAGGGAAAGAATGCCTGGCAAGATGAGAAGGGCAACGAACCAGCCAGAGTGGGAATATCGTCGGCTTTATACAATCGCCTCCGGGATTCCTCTCACAGTACCAAGCCCCGATAACAAAATGCTCCGGCATTTCCGATGATGAAATCGCCCCCTCTCCGCCGCGGCCTCAAGGTTCTTGGCTTCAGGCAGAGCCATGGATAGCGCAAGCCGTCCTGACCAGTGGGAAGCCTTGGTTCTTGGCGAGTTCCGCCAAAATGGCCCGCACTTCCGTGGGCAGCCTGGGCAGGTGGGCAGGACTGTTCAAAATGCACCGATCTCAGCGCTTGAGGCTTCTACTATGCTAAAGCATTATTTTCTCTCCACTGTCTCCACACCCTGTCTGCTCTGTGCTCACTGCTCAGGGCTCAAGAGCCTCCTCAATTCTCTTTCTCAATGAGATTGTGTTTCTATTATTGGTGTGACGCACCACCCCCCACAAGTACATTCTTTGATCATCATACCGAAGTCGACTGGATAGGCTGGCAAGGAATTTTGGATATATCGATTGGCCAATCGCGGTCAGAGTCGCCCGTTAGTAAAAGTTTCCACACTAGCAAACCTAAAGCCTGGTAGCCGTTTTGTTTTCTCTGTTTGGCGTATGTACGGAGTATAATAATTGTTGTGCCTCGTTTTTCAGGAAAAAGAATGATAATAGACAGGGAGGGAATATCCAACAGGCGCAAAGCTGATCTCCGTCATGGCCTGTAGGCTGTTCGTCGGGATGTTATCATCCATGATATGATCCTGGCTGCTGGCGTCTCGAAGTTGTTCAGAAGGCTGGTAGTGCCTTGGCGGCTGTCTTCGCCCCAGGTTATGATGGTTATCTCAGCATGCTCAACTCAGCCTCTCTTGTTCGATATTTTCGGATTAGCGCGAGCAACTAAACGCCTTTAGCCTTCTGCCAAGCGCTGCTAACGTCTGGACCAATCAGAGACCTTCCACGTGCTCATGACATAATATTCCGTGGCAGTAGTTCGGATTGGGTTAGCTCGAAGTGGAGTTTATTGCCTGGGGCCTGACTGACTTTGGTCTGCCTTACCAAGTCTCGGAAGCCCGCTGCGGTGGAAAATGAAACACCAGGGTAGTACGAAGGACTGTACCAGGGTTTCTGACCTGTCTTCCTCTTTTCTCCGTTCTCCCACCTTCGCTGCCCGTTTGAACCTCGTCGGCTATCCCCCTGTCCCCTATCCAAGACCCCCAAGCCTCATTCCCATTGGATAGCGGGGGAGGAACATCTGCCACGTGACCCACCGCCGCGCTGATCCAAGCACCCGATGACGCCGGCTTTTGCAGAGGAGGCCCAGGACAAGGTCGCAGGAGCCAATCACTGTGCTTGATGGCGTGACACGGAGCAAGGTCGACGTCGTCGTGCATGAGAGGAGCGGTCTGAGCGCAGCGGAACTATCTTGGCATGCCAAGACTCCTGCGTCGCCTAGCGGGGGGTTCCTGACCTTCTGTGGGAGCGGGAACGGGAGGAGGAGGAATCTCTGTGGGCGCCGTGATGAAGGGAGGGAGACGCGCGGAGGGTCCCTAATACACTGAGCGAAAGATTCAATAATAGAAGAAGGAAACTAGCCACATGATGGCTAGATGGGTTTACCCTGTTTCCGTTGTTCTTTTGATCTTGCCCGTTTAGCCCTCGAGGAGATGATACAACTACGCAGCTAGAAACGGAGTAGCCCATGCGGGTTTCTATTGTCCCGATGCTGATTGTGTGCCATCTCCGCCACGTTCATACACGGATTTCCCCAATACCCATACAAGCAAACCAATCGATTGGGGTTTTCGGGTTATGCATTTCAGACGGACAATAATCCGGATCACTCCTCCTGATTAGCCCTTAGTCCGATACGAGCGAAGAGAGCAAGGGAATTTAGCGAGACCCAACCCTTTCTTTCCCGCCAAAAAGCCGCTCTGCGTCGTTATTCCGCCTGTACCGCCCCAAAAAAAGGCACCCCAAGTTCAGGAACAGCATGGACTGGACACTCACCGCAACTAAATCCCTCTCCACCACGTTTACTGTGTACACCTTATAGCTTTAAATGCACAACATACCAATCAGCCATCCAACCTTCCGTCGTCCCTAGTTCTATCCAGCAAAGCTTAACTTTCCGACAATCTTCTCGCTCCCTCCCCCCTCCCCTTCACTCCCGCTGTCTCCGGGTAAGCTTCCTTTCCTCTGGGCTCTCCCGCAAGGGCTTAATCAAACAATGGCTTCACCTCACACAAGCCCAACTAACTACCTAGGTAACAAAAAAAGGAAAGAAAAGAAAACGCCCTGTCGCGTGACAGCTCCCATTTTTCATGACAAACCCAGCCCATTTCTCAATATCTGCCAACTTCTTATCTATCATGAAAAAGAAAAAAAGAAAAGAAAAGAAAAGAAACAAACGGCAAGGAGCAAGAAGAAGCAAGCCCAAATGGACGGCTGCAAAAGTTGTTCTAGACCAGACCGCTTCACAACCGAACAAGCTCACCGATATGACATATATCTATCTCAATCAGGGCCGCGGGCAAGAACAGGAACCTATATCCTCATTCCACATGGTTGGATAGCCAGCCAGGCCTCGGGCCCGTTTTAAATACCGTTACAAAAAAAAAAAAAAAATCGTTGACACAGAGCCCAGTGTATGGAACGGGCAGAGCAGAATGGACCTGAGACGGGATTTCAAGGCCCTTTGGGGAGGTTTTACTGTAGCCTACCTCCAATTGCCTGCTGCGGGAGGATCATCCTGAATCCCGACAGGCAACACATAGAGGCTGGAGTTCCGCCAGCTGAAAACCTTACCAGTGTAATTGAACACAGCGTATTTGCATTTTCAAATATTTGATTAACTAACTTGGAAGCTGTCTTTGACCTTTTGTTTATCTTGTTCTTTGGGTCCGTCATCTGAATGGTACTATTCTATATATTTACAGTAGGCATAAGGAGAAAATAAACATCTGTAATGGGGGACAGACACCCCATGCACATTTTACCCAAACATGCACATCCGTTCCCATCAAAACCCCGTACAATCCGCAATGCGAAAGAAAAAATGGCTTTATTGTACATGTACAAACATGCATCTGGAGCAGTACATCTTTATCTCCAAATTATACACCATTGCCCGCATCATGCTTCAGTCATATGTAATGTACAGTACATACAACAGCAGCAAAAGAACTTTCCCTCAGGCGAACAAAAAAGAAAAACCCCGCCCGAACCCTTCCCCACTAGGGGGGTTAGAGGCTTGTTAGAAGGGTCAAGGCCCGAGCCCCGAGCCGGGGTTGGAGGGAGGGAGGGAGGAAACGGGATGAGCCGCCTTAAGCACAGCTAAAAAGGATACCCGTGAACGAATTGGTGCAGGGGAGGGATATCGTGGACGTTGAAGGAAGGGGGGGGGAGTGTTGCCACGATAGTTAGTGTTGATAAAATGTATCTGAGTTCCGTAGGTTTCATTCTCTTCTTGTTTCCTTTTCACCTTGTAAGCGCGTGTCAATGTCCCCTGCCCGTTCCCATGGACTTCAGGATTTTGGAGGGCATGATAATGTATTCAAAAAGGGGTTTCATCCTTCAATCACAAACCAACCAACCTTCGTCCTCCCCGTACATACATCTTTTGTATGTACACAGATAAACAATAACCAAAAGAGAAAGGCACATCTACTCCCCAATATCAAAAACACTACTTCCTCCCCCTTCCCTTCCCTTTCCCCTTCCTCCGCTTACCCGCTCCGGCCCCCTCCTCCGGCTCCGGAACACTAACCGTCCCCTCCACCACATCCTCCCCCTGATCCCTCAACCTCTCCGCCCCACTAATAAAAAAGCTCAAATCGCGATTCTGCTCCTTCAAATCCTCATTCGCAGCCGTCAACTTCTGCACCTCCCCATTCAAAAACTCCACCTTCTCCATCAGACTGCCGTTCAAAGCCTTCTCCTCGCGCCACTCCTTCTCCATCCGATGCGCCATGGTCTCAAACTTCTCCGCCCGCCGCTCCGCACGACCCTTATCGCGCTCCAGATTCGGTATCGTCTCGTTGAGCAGCGTGTCATATTGCGCTTGGAGCGCGGAGAGGTTCTTCGTCGCCGTCTCCGCAGCCTCCTGTGCAGCGGAGGCCGCTGCGCTCGCAACGGACGCCTTGTCAGCGGCGCGCTCGACCACTTCTTCGAAATAGGTCCGCTGGCTTTCCAGTTGGCTAGTTAGCAGGTGCGTGTATTCCACACTCATGTTCTCCAGCTTCTCGCGGGGCACGGCATCGCCCCAGTCCGGTGGATCAAGGGCACTCTCGCCCGCCGCGGGCAGCTCGACCAGTTTGCCGTCAGACTTATTTTGAATGATCCGGTGCACATAGCCGTCGCCCACGTAGTCCCATACACGCTGAGAAGCTAGGTCCATGGCGAAGGCGTGGGACGTCTCCTTGAAGTGTGCAAAGGCATGTGCTTCGTCGTAGCGGCCACAGCCAATGTTGCCGCAGATCAAACATAGCCACAGATTCACCTCTGAATGGCACACTTGGCACTCGGTGGGGCCCTGGTCGAAATCAAACGTCTGAGCTGCCCTTTTGCCAAATTCGTCCTGTGTATACCGACACACGGGACATCCGCTCCCTTTCCATTTTTGCAAGCATGTACAGTGAAAAACATGCTGGCATATGATCGTCAGCAAGCCTGTCGTCTCGTCCCCTCGCTCCAGGCAAACGGGACACGTTGGTACTCT